AGAGACTGAAGCTGCAGCAGCAACAAGAGCAGGAACAGCAACAGAAGCAGCAGATGAAAAACAAAAGCTTTTGTCGTCCATATTCTTTGCCTACAAAACAGGGAGCATCAACAAATGCCAACGATGCTAGCAACCCATCTCCTTAAAACAAACAAAAAGTCACAACAGAGAAAAACTTTGGTACTAAACAAAGGTCACAACATATTGACAAGTGCAAGCTCAGTGCAAAGAAGGCAGGTCATAGTAACCAAGACACAAGAATYGTGAGAGTGACCCAAAGTATGCTCCAAAGCCACCACCCTTTTATTCTCTAAAACCATCACCCTCTTATTCTCAGGAGAATAAAGTTGTTTCCAAGAAGAAAGCAGCACAGGATGAAAAGGAAAAGGCCCAGGAAGATGCCAAAAAGAAAGCAAAGGGTGGTGATAATTTTTATTAGTTGRGCTCATAACCTGTGGGAGTGACTGTCCTACTAATAGTGATGTAAAATGTATGCTAGAAGAAAAGTGAGTCGATGCTCTTATCGAGGATYGACGAACTAGTATGAAATCTAGAATYRATCACTGTGAGAATCAAGTGATGTATGAATCGAATGAGTCAAGTCACTCACGCAAGTGAATGAAATGAGTCATGTTGATTGTATGAATCCAATGGGATCAAGTGAGTCATATATGTATGGTGTGTACTATGAATCGTAGATGCGTGTCATATGTATGGGTTGTATATATGAGTCATACCCACGGTCTGATATCCTACAGACAGCACAATTCTGTAGGCAAAATCCAAACACCAGCCATCATGAGTTGTGAGGGTGATCCAAAGAATACTCTAAAGAAGCCACAATCATCTCATTCTCAGACTACTGAAGTTGCCAAGAAGAAACCAAAGCTTAGAACCATTGTTGAGGATGATGGATCTACTACTACTACTGATGAAGATGACAACCTGCTGGAAAGAAACTGTCTGCAAGAAGGACAAACAAAAAAAAGAACAAGCAGATACCGGCACTAGAGTTCTTTGTGATTGGCTAATTAGTCAGAAGCCTACTGATGATGTTGATGGCAAACAAGATTTTGGTTTACAGTTTGAAGAGATTGATGATAATACTGATGATTTTGATGCTGATGAAGATCAGATTGATAAATTGCTTTCCAAACTCAGTAAATGYACAAAAATTCTACATCTATGTTCCACAAATATGTTCCACAAATTAACTTAACAAAATTYAAGAGAAGAAAATCTGAAGGCTATTCTTTCATTTTATKACTATGATTTAATAGCTCTAGTCAAGAGAGCTCTTCCTAACAACAAACATTTATTTTGGAAAAAGAAGACTTATCATGTTATGTTTGATCTATTCAGATTGACACATCCTACAGAAAAAAAAGAAAACAAATGGTCAAAGAAAAGTAATCCAAAATTACATTGTGTGTTTCTCTCAGGCAGTCACTTGCAGCCAAGKCAAATGTCATGCATCAAGCAGAAAGTTAATGCTTTGTGCAGAGAACATTAATAAAATGTAGTATTGCTTACATTTCCAGATTATATCAGAGATGGAAAACCTCAAATGCAAACAATGATGGTAGTTTTTGATGAAATGATTGAGCAACCAAATATGATCAAAGGGAAGGCCAYCAACTCTTCAACTTTGTTGTCTGGCCCACCTAGTACTRAATCCTCCACAAGCACATCAAAAAAGGTTTGTCTGCCTCAATAGTATTGTATTCACAAATTACAGCAACACCAGACTCAAAGGGACTGGCAATCTTTTTTACTCCATGCCAAAACCTTCTGGATAGAATTTTGAAAGTCTTGCACATTCCATTAATCTTCTTGACTTTTTAGAACTCTGGATTTGAATTTTTGACACTGTAACTATCATAATAATTTGGATATGATATTGTACTTTTGTGACCACAGTATTGTATCGTTGGCGGCCTACTGAGTCATACATTATGAATGCTCAATATACATACATGTATATTGATCAATATTTATTGGACRCCGTACCCCCCCACTGCATTAGAAAGCTCTTTGAATTCTCTTTTAAATTATGTGCTTTCCTTACTTAAGCGTCTGTTGGGGAAAAAGCTATAACTGTTTGAGTGAGTTGAACCTCTCTTAATGTCCTACGTGTTGTTTGTACTGTGAGTCAATTTTGGGCTATCTTTTTACTTTGTAATGACTCGTGGGATCAAAAATTTGGATTTGTACTACAGATACAGCAATAGCACATGTTGAAGCAAAAATCAGCAGCAGTTGGAGCAYGTGCAGCAAAACTATTTGGTCGCACACTTGTGGGACTCAAACATTCAGCAYGTGCCCGGCTGTAAACTGCAGTACAAGCCCTTTTTTAGTCAAAGTAGTCATTACATGGAAATAAGTAGCCCAAAATGTACGACTGGTGCGTACATTTGGCTGCCAACTCTATACGATATTCCATCTCAAATTGCTTTCTGCCCAAGCACTTGCAGTCAGTTCTCCAATCCTTCTTCAACAAAGATTTGCAAATCATTTCTTACTTCTTCTTTGAATGTACCATTCATCCATATTACCTTTCTCACTGCAAGAGATATTCCAATTTTGTGATTGATACCAGATTTGCTGAATTTGTGACTGAAGTAATCAGAATCTTGCAAATATACTTCATGAGTAGGAGGCTCTTCAATCCAGACATGCTTCCCATCAGCAGTCATCACCCAGATGTTGCCAAAGCTCAAGTCATCAGGCCAAAATATTTTTCAAATTTTCAATGCCTGTATTTTTTCACTCATCTCCCATATTGGCACTCGCACGTAGCATGGACTTAAGTGAAAAATGTTTCAAAGTCATCTTCAATGGGATACCTTCAAAGGTATAAAATTGTGCATAGAAACCACTTAAGTTTGCCATTGGCCCCYCCAAATGGATAAACTTTTTGTTTGTCTCTTGTAGATCCTCATAAATTGTGCACAGCACTGCAGGGGAGGCACCAAAATTGGTGTTGAATCTTTGGCAATTCTTCTTTTTGCCAGATTGATTGATTTGCTGATCTCAATAACTAGCAAGGAGCATTTCATTAGCTAGCATTTCATCTGCAGTGACACCATGATTTAGAGTAGTGTTATCCATTTGGAAAGGTTTACACATGATGACTAATTTGTAGCTAGCTAGTCAACAAAACTTTGTTGTTCACGGAAAAYAAATGTCAACAACAATTGATTATCACATTCACAGAAAATGAATATGATGACTACTTTGTAGCTAGTCAACAAAGCTTGCAACTACTACTACTACTACTACTAGAGTTGACATCATGAAAAGAATAGCAGCGAGAAGGTTGTGTGAACTTTCTTACTACTTGTAGTAGCGCTAGAACTAATCCTATACAGCACAGATGAATAATAGTATTAGCGACCATGACGACGAAGAGTCGTTCATTCGTGAATGTCTGTGTAAGTTCCACTTTTAAATCAAGAAATTACATGTACATATCGACCGTGGGGTCCCCTCGAGACGACAAAATATCCATAGCGAGTTTTGCATACTCGTTGGCCATGTCAAACCCTTCAATTTTCATTATTTTGCCCAAAACATCGGCGCAATTCATATCACGTGAAGCTGCCAATCTTTTTCGAAGTTCGACTAGAACAATTTCGGCACCTTTTCTTGAGTTGGTAGCTATAGAAATGATGACCTTGTTTTTGATATCTTGAAGTCCTTTGCAGTGGCTGCTTGGAATGTCTTCTTGAAAAATAATACGGAAGAACTCTTTTGCAACAAATACTTTCGTTGGTGCGACAAGAAAGAGCTTAAGCCACAGAACCAGAATTTGGAGCGCGACCGACCCGCCACATACGGAACAATGGGATGGAGTGAAAGAGACACATTCACTCTTTGTGAAATCCAGAGGAGAAAATGGGACCAACGCCCCTGAATTTAAGTTTTTCCATGCAATAATCCTTCTTTGGAGTTCGTAACTCTCCCTCCAAGCCTCTCGCAATAAAATGAGCATTTTTTGGCAATCCGCCATCTCTGCCTTCAGTATTTTTTCACCATCCTTGGGGTCTTTGTCTTCAGAATCTTGGTTATTAGCCCGGATTGTCCCACTGCTTCCTCTTCGAAGAACTTCACGCAATCCACTTTCATCTTCCACGTTCTCGAGTGACATACCTCGTCCAAGATGCCGAATAATGATGTCTGTGGATCTTCGACCATCTGAAGAAGACGATGATCCAGAGCGAATCTGTTGAGCCAGTCTTAGTAATGATCGGGCACGTTCCGAGCGATCAGTTGACGAGTTAGATCGGCCATTACTTCTCACATTGTTTTCAGTATGAGCGACGTACTTGACTATGCTGCCCGGTTTATCGAATCGATCAAGCATACTAGGAATTTGAGCATTGTCTCCGATCTTATCTGCATCACCGATAGGAAGTAATCCGAAGAGTGCTCTTTCTAAAGAAGCGTCAATAAATGAGTCAAATTCCGTGTGATTCTTATGCTTCTTTTGATTCAGTGACCGCATCTTCTCTCCAAGATTCTCCCTCAATTCGTCTTCGATGGAGGACGCTATCCCGTACATTGCAATAGACTTATCGAAAACGTTGTCATCTGTAATGGCTATCGCATTGGATGCCACTGCCGCATTGAGTTCTATCGAAAAGGATCCGCAACAGGTATAACCGCATTCCACACACAAGAATGCATCAAGTCTATCATAGTTTATGTGACGACATTTCCTACACTGGAAAGCAACCTCCCCGCAAGTGACACAAACACCGTGGGCGTTCGTCACGGGACGTGTGCAACGCGGGCAATGGAGAACCATGGACCCATCGGTCCCTCTTTCTTTGTTACCAGGCCGTTCGTAAAACTCTGTGAACTCAACACGGATGTTAGTAGCAACAATCGGTTGCGAGAGGCTTGCGCTGACGCGAGAACCTCCTCTCGCAAGATTGAGTGTAGCAATCTTTTGCCATTTTGAAGAGTAATTATCGCTCTTCAAGGCTTCAGATGTAGGCCTTGAAACAAAAAAGATACTTATTGTCTTCACATAGCGGCCTCGAGGATCGGAAACTGTCAGGTGAATGTCCGAAATTGAAACTCGGTTTTTCAATTTATAGAACAGGTTAAACTCGTTGCTGCTACATGTTTCCTTCAGTGAGTCAAGTCGACAACGAGAAAACTCAGAAACCTGTTCAGAGTGCCACTTTTGGCGACTGATAGTCGCTCCTGTTCTACCAACACCGGATGTTGATCCAGTTCTATTAGATACTYTGCCAGAGTTTGAAAGAAATTTTCGCTCTGACGATCTGCTGGTTGATTCTCTCCCTCCGGAGTGGTGCTGTAATTTGAGGCAAAATATGCATCTAGAAAGATCGAATCTCTTCCTTGTTMTCGTGCTTCCGACATTAGTTTCAACCATTGTCCATTCATGATTTGACTTGTCGTATTTGATGGCCTCCATCTGTTGAATAAATGAATCCGCAACATAATCAGCCAATCTGCCAATAGAGTCACTTGGTTTTAAAAAATGGGTGAGCATTTGTAACAGATTCAAATATTCGATACTCGCTTTACCCAACAAACCGACATCTCTTGTGGCTGCTAAAAGATTTTCAAACAGAACCAACTGATCGCCGTCCGACATATCTCGAGAGAGTTTCAAAACAATCTGAAACGCAGACCTTCGAAGTTCGGTTGTTTTACCACTCTGAACCATATTGAGAGACATAGCAATGATGTCACCTACTACCAACTTAGTATTTCCTGAGTTCAGTAAGAGCTCCTCGGGTTTAGATATCGCAGACCCTATGCCACGAACTTGGTCATCTTCTGAATCTTCATTGCTTCCCATCTCAGAGTGACCCATTGAAGTCTTCAATTGTGTTTTTCGCTCTTTCCAATCAAAAAGAGCAAAATCAATCATTCTTAAAATTTTGACTTGGTTTATTCCTGTCAGACAACTGGCAATCCAAAAGAGAACTTTAATCGGAGCAGCTTCAAATAGTTGCTGCTCCTTATTACGCTCTTTCAGTTTTGAACCAGAAGTTTTCCTATGCCGCTGCGAAAGAGGAAGTGATCGAAATCCGCAAAACTGCCTCCAGCTGCCCCCTCTACTTTTAAGGACGGTCCACATATCATCGAGCGCTTTCCCACAGCCTTTCAGGTTCAATTCACTTATACTATCCTCTGATATTAAGTCCTGTGTTCCAATCAGCCCACCAACGCCAAGGGTAGCCCACTCAACGGCTGGACCTTTCCATTGAGCACTACACTGTCTAGTTTTCTCCTTCACAATCAGGGCTGCCTCCAAGATAGCATATGAGAAATGGTAAAGTTTCTTCAACTGAAAGCAGAAAGTGAAGTGGTCGCGAATATAATGATATTTTTTTCGATTTCCACCACACAGTGTTTTCAACACTTTTGTTGCTAGCGATCTGAGGGCTGAGTGTTTGTTCGTTGCCATGGTTATTTCGCATAGAATTGAAAACCATCTTGATATTCCTTCCGTCTTGTCGTCGGCTATAATTGTTAATAGATCGAGCGAGGCCTCGAGTAACAAAGCACCACGATCACCAGGGGTTCCAACTGGAATGTCAAGTTGACGTGTACCGGACAGTTTGCTCTTTACCAACGCCTCGCTAGATACTACATCCAACAGTTTTTCCTTGCTACAGAAAACCCCATCGTTAAAGTCCCTTTGAATGTTTTGAGCACTGTAAAAACTCTTAAGAAGCGAATCATCGGTTTTCTTTTCTTTTTGATTAGACGCCAGCACGCTAACTTCATAAAAGCCTCCTTCTTCTCCGAACAGTTCCTCCTCGAGTAGCCCACAAAGTCTGTCATACAACGCTTTGCCAGATGGTGATTGGTGGTCTAGCATAGCCGATTGGACAATTTGGTTAAATTGTGATTTCGGATTATTATGCTCCTTTTTCTTTTGTCCATCATCTGCCCATTTGAAAAAGTTACAACGCTGCCCTTTTTCTTTGCCACAAACATAAAACCGACGATCTTTATTTGCACCTGGCTTGTCACATCTTCTTCGAACGGCTAGAATTCCGTGCACATCGCACGTTAACTTAGGTGTCATTGATTCAATTGATAGTGATTGGTGACGACGGCCAGTATCAGATTTTGCTACAGGGAAATGATAATCGAAATCAGAATCGGGTTTCACGAGACTCGAGAGGCCTCGTAGACACGCCACCAAACAAGACATCTCAAAATTAGTCAATTGTTCCCTTTGCGAAGACGAGTCCACGATTTTTTCAATTCCTCTCGATACATCTTTTACGAACCACTCAGCTCTTTCGCGCTTGAGAGAATCAAGTCTTGAATGCTTTACTAAATCCAGTGCCAGTTTAATCAAGGATTCCATAGAGCTATCGCATCTTTCTTTTTTAAAGGCATAAGAAAGCTGCTCCATGACAAAGGAATATAACTCTCCGAGAAAATAATCATACCCCCTGTGGTCAGCAGACAGSTCTTGCTGACTACAATGGCTCGCACTCTCTCCCAAATTGCATTTTAACCCCTTCCGTAATGCTTCGTCTTCGTCAGCTGTCCCTTTTAGATCTTGCAGATGCCTTGTTTCGATATCTAATTGCTCAACATCCATTTCCATCTTTTCAAGCGAAACAGGTTCCATTTTTTTCATATGAGCGCACGTCAAATCCCTACCCATAGATTTTCCATTGATAATCACTTCTGCTGAAGATTTATTTCTTTTATTGGATGCAAATTTTTTACCCACGTCGTAGCATTCGTTGCAAAGACTAACGGTAAAATCAAAGTGAGCAAAACAATATTACAAGGTCTTCAAACTCTGGCGAAGATGGCATACTTACTCGATACCATAGTCGTCTTTAAGGATTGTGTACCTAACTTCTTTCATTGGACACACCCCACAACTATCACACTGATAGGCCACCCGACGAGCTGCTTCCATTTGTACAAACAAATCAGGGATGCTCCTTTTCTTTTGTTCACTTTCATGATCTTGAAAAAAAGTCGAGATTGCTTCACAAGTGGAAAGATTTTCAACGTCAATGAATTCTCGAATGCGACTGAGTTGTACAAAATCTTTGGTAGATTTTGAATCATCCATGTAGACAACAATAGCCATCTCTGTCAGTGATAATGTGATAATACCCCGTGACCCTCCTATTAGCTCTTCAAACCCCGCCGACCTTCTCAATCCCTGTAAAATCAACTTGGATGCTTCAATAGCTATTGATCCAGATTTTAAATCGTTTTCTTGTATATTCCCCATACTTTGCAGGTAATTATTTGGACGCTCCCTGGCAATCAAGGAGGCTACGTTCAAACAATCTTGAAGAATAATTCTGATCGCTTTCCACTTCATATCTTCGCTTATATTATTCTTACCTTCGCTACGCATCGCAGGATTATTCAACATGGCATTGCACTCCACGAGGGATTGTGAACAACCAACCAACATGTTTTCGTCTTGAAATGACCACCTCGATCTACTGTCAGAAACCAAACTACCAGATAGTACCTCCACGCTTTCCCTGAGCTGTTTATYTGGGTGCACAGCAGTTATCTGTATAAGTTGCCTCATTAGGTCCTTCCCTTCCTCTAATGCATCAACAGCGGGGCTGATGAATTCACACAAAGTGGTAGTTGCACGAACACCAAGAATAAGACCAGTAGAAGTCGTCCTATGGTCTTSCAACGGGATGTCATTTTCATYATTCGACATAGACGTCTTAAATGGTCCGTCAAAAAGCGTCCGATAAKTTTTTGAGCTTGGCGTCGACGCCGGAGCGAAGTAGCTCGTAGACAACACCATATCCAATGAATTCCTTTCACTAGCAAATACTTCTACCGAATCAATCACGGGTGCATTCGTAGGATCGAACGATTGCCCGATCCAAATAGAAACGAATCCCGATCTCATCCCACGTGCAATTTCCTCCTCGGTGAGCGGAATATTGTACCACCTCTTCAGCCTCGGGGTTACATCAATAGATCTACCCTGAACTGAAATTCTTGATGGTATGTAGTCGCAAGTTGATCCCACAAGAACACGAATAGCAGATATGATTAAATCTGGCGATTTTGCACCACTTCTCGACCGCGAAGCTGTGTCAGTATTTTGCGAAAGTGAAACTATGAAGCAACATCCTTGTCGTCGAGGACATACAAAGGACGAAGAGTTTTCACGTGAAAGTCGACTTTTCAATTCTTTTGAGTCAAAACCCAACTTTTCACCAGAAAATATAAGGTTTTCGCTTTTACTAACGTTGATGAGTTGTTCGAAAATAGTGAGTGGGAACTTTTTCATCGGAGATGATTGAATCAGCGAAATGTCAGTCAATTTTAATGCATTCGTTGACTCGGCAACACTATTTTGACCGGGACTCGTAGGGATCATATCTATCAAATCTTCACCGAAGATTTGGAGGTTGCCTTCAGAAGTCAGAGCACACAAAAAAGTTCTTTCACCCGTCATACGTTGTTTGTTGAGAGTATCGGTATGTACAACTGGAGCCGTAAATGCTGCCAACCCTTCGAAAGAATCTAGGCTTAATCCCATTCCTGAAGAACAACTGATTTCTCTAATTTTGGTCTTCTTTTCGTTGAAGTCGATACAGAGTAGTTTCGAATGACCGCTTCTTGTTGCTCTTCCAAGACAAACAACCCGGAAAAAAGTTTCACCCTTTCGATAGACCATCCCTAGCTCTGTCCACAAGGTATATGGACCAGAAATGGAATACATGTCATCATTTTCATCTGCACCAAGGACGCCAATCGGTATTGTATGAGGTATTAGTTCGAAACTACCCTCGACATTTCCATCATTGCCGATCATCAGAGCAACTACGGCAGCTGCTTTGCATTTGTATAGTAGACAACGACTTTGTTTCAGATACACTAGTTTTGATCCCTCCCCAAGCGTTCTAGTCGAAGCTCCAGGTAGACCAACAGATGACGTTGACCTGGGACGGATGCCTTCGGTTGAAATCGAGACACACTCGCTAGGTTCGAAGTGCAGCTCTGAAGGCGATTCGATTTTGCCATTTGATATCTTAATTTCCAACGAATGCAATCGTCCGTTTTCAAGCAAAAGGAACATCTTCGACGTGTGTTCCGCTCGATAATTACTGGAAGATTCAGTGCTATCATTTTCACTCGTAGCGACCTCTTTTTGTGGCACAATCGACAGATCACGAAGGCTCGCTTCGAATCCCAAATTGTATCCAATTACAGGTTGCGCGCGCTTACTACCATCCTTTTTCTCGGATCGACAAACATCAAATAGGCGCACATATCGAGAAACTCCAACGGCAACATGCGTCTGAGACCCAGGTAGCCATTCGCAATTAACCAAAACGTCTCCGTCACTATCCTGCTCATCGACTTCAAACGTCAGGTTTATTGTGTCCTCTGACCCACTGTAGTCTGCCTTGAGTATCAACACGCATGCTTCAGATGTACCCCATACTACAAGATGACGTTCATTTACTGCACAAAGACGGACGCCAACAACATTGAACGACAACGGTAAGGTACCTAGAATGCACATCTGTGATCGTGTAATTCGCTCGTCGTCAGATCTTTTTGGATTTCTTGCATTCACAATAGCCATAGGGCTACACAACAAGAGAGAAGAAGGCTCGGCAAGAATCATTCTTCCCCTGCTATCAATGGCCAAAATCGATCTTGAGACATCGTTTCTAGATAGCCTTGCTAGTGTTAACGCATCATGTGTTGAGCTATCAGACGAAAATTTTGCAACAAAACCCGTTGCCACGCAAACAGACACTAATGCCTCCTCTTCTATTTTTCGAAGTTCTAGAAGTTTTGCACGTCGCCRTCTCATTTGTTTCTGCTCCGACAGGTGCGAAGACCTGAAGATTGACTCCGAATTGAGACTTGATTCCGCAGACTCTTTCAGAAGCAAACAGATTGGGTCACCATATTTCGTTTTCCAACGCTTGAACTCTTTTTTTATAAGCCTAAAAAGAGAACTGAGCCAATGTGAATTTTTGACGTCGAGGAGAAACCTAATGGCTGATTCCAGTGCTTCATCAGGAAAGGAATAATTTGCAACTTCTGCAGAGATAGTGCCTTCAAACCTGGAATATGTCTCTACCAATTTACTTCCATCGTTCACATTACTGTTTGATCCATGTCCCTCAATATGCTCGTTTTTATAAATTGCATCCAATTGACTATTAGGAGTAGATTTGATGCACTTGCAGGATACACGGCCTTGTTCTACTGAGTTGTCATCTTCTGCGGCACAATCACAAAAGAACGACGAATGTCGAGAGTACGAAACATCGTGGTCTCGGTGACATACAAGGGCACACAGGGTGCAGCAACCTTTGTCAGCGACAAGGTTGCATGTGTAACCTGATTTGGTAGAAAACAAATTTAGATAAACTGTTCACTTCCTTTGAACTCATCGATTCAAAAATGACTTGGAAACAAAAAAAGAAACGGTCAATAAAATCGTGCAAACTTACAATGATACCAGTGCTGCTCGTGGAATCCACTTCTTTTGATAAAGGAGCACCATCTTGGAAATTCAGAAGGAATAGTGGTGTATTCAGTGCCCACATCTTTCGATGATCCTTTTTTTACAACAATCTTTGAAGCCTTTGGCAAAACTTCAGCTTTCTTTGACGCGACTGACTTTAGGCTCTTGATAAAATCAAAATACTTGTAAAACAAACAAGCTTCTCCGACGGATTCATCATCACTTTCACTTTTTTCTTTATGCTTTACAAGTTTCGATCCAATTTCGAAGAGACTATTGAAACACGTTCCGTACGTCAAAAGTACGCTTAGTGTTAAATCTCTGTTTGATTCGTCGATCTTTTTCCAGGAATCAAACACTCCCATCAACATGTCATGTACAAATTTGGCTTTTTCAAATTTAGGTGTCGATTGAGGAAATAGAAGTAGAGTAAAAATTGATGCCATATCTCTCCTAAAAGTTTGTGATGGTGATTTGTTGCCTCGAATACCACAAAGATCCTTGAGCACGACGGACTTGAGATGCTTTTTATCAACTTTTGTGAAAGCTTTGACAATTGCGGATATAACAAAAGGCTGCCTTATACCCGTCGAGTTGATGATTGAGTGGGACTCCATGATCCCAAGGCGACTCAACATGAACGCTATGCGAGACCGCGTTTTACTATTTACCCGTAGAGAATCTTCGCAAAGTATCGAAACWAAATCATTCACAGCCTTTTCCTTGGATAAGCCACATGACCACTTGTATATCTCGGCCTGACTATCGCAAATTTCCTTCAACTGACCAAAACTGAGAATTTCGAAGATATCAATTGACTTCGTAGCAACGGTGTCCACTGAAGATTTTGGCGGGTCTCCTAAGAAGTAATGCAGTCTCCGATGCTTTGTCAAAGCATCCGTGTCGCTCCTTGCCATCACATCGTCAACTGTCCCAGAATCTTCGATCATAGTTATTAGTCGTTCCACTACAAACGGAATCGAGGCCTTGGCATCTTTATTTGGTAAAGRCTCAGCGATGTCGCGGATAAGATTCAGACCCATGAAGGCACATCGCATTGACTGCATGGCCTCTAGATCCAGAAAAGTATTCGAATCAACGACGAGGTGCGAAGCGACAGAGTGGCACATAGTTGAAAGCGGATCTTCCGCTTCAATTGACAACCTCGCCAGAAGAGATAGTGTCTCAAACACTGATTCCTGTAATGAAGTAGGAATAGAAGTAGACGGCTCAATGCCATTCAGACGCTCGCAAAAATGAAGTGGTGATGCATCGTATGGATCCTGATCGTTCTCATGAAACGCAAAAGGATGGGGTTTTCTACCGACTTTGCCCAAGCCCAAACGTAACAAAGCAGCAGCGGGCACCAARTGGCTTATTGCTGACATGAGTACTGTACGCCATAACTGAGCCTTCGCCATTTCAGAACTGGTTTCTTGACCACTTGTTGAAGCAACTTCTATACAGTCCTTTGATTCCCGATGCCGAAGGTCGTCTTCACCTTCGTTAGTATTTAGACACGCGATAGAAAGCGCTTCGGCCAATAGTAATTCCCATTCACCACCTGCTCTGAGCACTGCGTCAGATAGTTCCCATCTTCCCATTAATTTATTTTCCTCTTGTAAGATTCCTCGTAACCTTTGCCCTGCATAYGGACACCAGCAAGCCTTCGTTTGGTCTATATCTACATCAGTTGTATCTTCCGATAAATAATCAGCGACTTTTGACGACAATTTGGTAATTGTAGCAACATTAGATGGCCATTCACGACAATTTGGATATTGGGAGGTGCGTGACCACATAATTATGGTTGAATAGAGATTTTCATTTCGTTTAGTGTCCTTCTTTTCCTTTTTGAGCGCTCGAACAGCCGACGATTGGTGCCTTTTATACTGAGTGAATGCAACTTTAGCAAGATGGGAGAGTGTATTTATTGCTTTTCCTGCTACTTCAGTAGCATACACDGGACGGATTCCGTCACGTAAGCTGCAGCTGACGTCTAACCAGTCGGGATGGACTGGGGCGGCTCCAAAAGCGTCACAACATTCTCTGAGACGGGACATGGCAGCGATCCGAGCTTCACTTTCGTAGTCGTCAATGTCTTCATCAGATTCACAGTCAGATGGAGAGTGGTCGCTGTCGGAGTAGTAACCACGATGACTTTTTTGCTTTTTGGTTGAGGATTTTGACAAAGTGGTCGAAAAATAGTCATTGCCAGGTTTTGTGTGACCAGAAACAGCTGCAGCAATGTATGCTGGCAAGGATGCCAACAGGACCATGGCTGGTAAAGGCATATCTTGTTTCATTTCTTCGTCATCTGGGATATGATTCTTGAGTAATGTATCAGTAAGTTCACTGGCACGCAATACCATTCCTTTCAAATCAACATTTTCACCATCGTTTATAGCCCTATAGATAGAGCAAACATCATCACGTAGCTGCAGAATGTTTTTCGAGTAATTTTCATTTAATGGTATCAACTCAGGAGAAAGTTCTCCACTACTTGATGGCTGGGGCATTTGATCCAATCCATTCCAAGCTGTAAACAACAGATGGCAGTGATCGTAAGGTGCAGCATCAAAGCCGATCTGAAATGCTTTTTCGAGTAGAGAACGAAATTCATTCGATGACTTCCTCGGTATTTGTGTCTGTTCATTGGCCTCCTTGACAACACCATCAGGTAATGAAGACGATTCCCAAGTACCAAATATGCCCATAAACGTTCTATCTTGACAATACCAGTCGGCCTGGGTGATAAATGATGGGATGCGTATTTGGGAACCACCCATGGTTGCAGAGAAATTTTGCCTAAGTTTTCTGCCCATAACGATACTGTTCATCAAAGAGTAGCAGACAACAAGAACGCGTGCAAAAAACCCAGAGACATCGGCATTTMGAAATAATTTTTCTTTTTCTGCTTTGTTTCTTTGTGTTGATTCAATCGCATCCCGTATTGACTTGACAAGACGTTCAAAACATGACTGTCTCTTCTGCCTAGATAGCCCGTTCAGAGCCAACATAAATGTACGGGCATCATTGTATGACAAAGGTATATCATCATTCAGTATGCGACCGTACCAGCCAAATTTCTCGGGCGTTAGCGTTTCCAAGTTATCGAAAACGTCTTTTATAAAATTGATGTATCTGTTCACGATGTAAATTTCCGCATCTTTTTTGTCTTCGTCTGACACACAACTCATGTTGGCAACTAATAGAGTGTGATTAGCGGCGGGTAACGTAAATGACTTTTTTTCTTCTATTCCCCTAGAACGAAATGCATCAAGAGGTGCAGTAAGAGCTTTGTAAATCTTCTTTCGTCTCTCTGAATCCCAAATAAGCGGATCAAGGCCGCTATTCTCCTCGTATCTTAGTTGGCCTCGTCCGAAAATCTGGCACATATTCATATGTGTCTCCCAAAGTCGTATTTCCGAAGCAGTAAAATCATCGCTTTGATAAGCATGTGCAAGAGAAGCCGAAGATGTTGTACCTGGGTCGAAATCATTCTCCAGGCCAATTGCTTTGCATCTACTTTTAATCATTATCTTGTCAAGCATTTCTCCCAACTCAACGAGATTCAGCATGTGGTCAAAAGTTACCATGCATCGTATAATCTTTCGGATTGTACATGAACCATATCCTTTCGTGTTGATCAAGCAAGTTTTGATAGCAGTCAAAGCTAGTATTGCTACAGAACTCATTTCGGGACTAATTTTGAGCCATACGAAAGTCTCCTGCTCGGTTGCGCTTTCCGCATATCCCGATTCCGTCTTTCGACGACGACTGGTACGTCGATTGGTCGAACTCTCCTTTCCAGGACGTTTTCGTTTGCCTGAGGGCGTTGCATTTATAGTCTTCTCAACATAAGATTTCGCGGTTGATGTTGTTTTTGGTTTGCGAGTATCGTACGCTCGTCTTACTAAGTCCACCAAAAATGTCAAGAGTTTTCCTGCAGCGGGACTTGTATCTCCCGGGTGCCTCTGTATCTGGAACGCTCGAATTGCCAGAGCAACCGCATGCTCATCTGTGAAWGAGTCGCCACTTGATACTATACCAGCAAAGGTGCAATTTCCGGTTGCCATAAGGTCCATACTGTCAGTCGTTAATGATGATGAGGTTGGGACGATTGGAGTAGGTAGCCTCGTTTGAAGCAAGAATCTGGTCTCAAAATCTCGTTTTTCCTTCTCCGACACAGAGGACGAATTATCTCCCTCCGACAGTCCACTGGATGGCATAGCACCTGTGGTAGAGTTTGGGTCTATCATTCGGAGGCTGTTCACTACTCGTGACAAAGCAAAACTGATCATTTTTGTGTCGAGCGGAAGAGACGGATCTGCCGCTAACTCTAAACAAAAAGCAGAAGCAATACTCTGCAATGCTTTGCTCAAGGAGCTATGTTCGTTGTAGCTAGAATTGTACACGCTCGACTCTGCGTTGCGACATAGACCCATAATAAGTTCTGAGAAATCAGTATTGCGAGAAACTGTCGAATCATCAGGTACATCGTTTTCGCTATCCTCATCTTCTTGCGCCAACTCAACATTTTCTAGCAGACACTTTTTTCGGTTTTGTACGTAGTCGTAAATGACTACCGTTGTCCAATCTCGGATGTCAGCGCGTCGCATAGTGCTGATTCTACTCCGACTTGGAGAATCAGGAGAATTAGGCTCTTTGTTGCCACCCTTCTTTGTACGCTTGGATTTTCCTGCTTCCGGTGACCTCGGAATTGCAGTCCCAACCCCTGGAGAAATACTCCTTAGATATTGTTCGATGCCTCCTGTGGGAGCCCGCACTCCGCAGTTTTTTCCTGATTCGATAACGATATACATCATAGTACTCATCAATCGTGACTTTTCATGAGGCGTGCAAAATTTGTCGTATTGTCTGTCTATCGCTAGTCTGTGTATTTCTCGCAAAATAAAGCGCTGGCCTTCTCCCCGATGGGACCACACGATGGCAATACTAGCCCATCGTTTAATAGCAACGCGACCATCGATACGGTTTCCAAAATCTTCTGAAGCTAATAGCTTTTCGAAAGCGGCAACAACTGGTGAAGGGTCAAAGGATTGATTTTTGGATAGTTCTGTTTTCGCTTCAGCCGAAGCTGGCGATTTTTTGGCAGAACCCTTTCGTTTGCTTGTCGTTGCGATTGATTCTGCCCCTCTTCCACCGCGTGAGCGAGTGGATCGTTTCGTAGGTGGAGTTTTTTCTGCTTCCTCCTCTTTCGCTCTCTTTTCTTTATCGATTGTTTTCAACAAGACCTCGATACATCCGCGTTCCGGATTTGCATAGGATAATCCCAAATACTCTTCTATTTGGGTACATGTATCTACTAGGGCAGCTGTATTCCATTTCCCAATAGTCCCGAAGACATCATTGTTGGAGTTATTTTTCCTTTCCTTCTCTTCACTTTTACCGGCACAATTCTTTCCAAGCCCTGCGCATCCTGCTCTCAAATGCACCAATCGATCTAAAGTGGCTACAGCGGCCTCATACGTGCCATAAGTTCGCTGCGCTTCTTTTTGTGGATCATAGCTCTGCATCCCATACAATGCGGCTAGAGAGGTCGTCAAAATTGCCCGGCAAAGCGTAGAGCGACTAGCATTCGCCGTTTGGTGTGCGGTCAATTTAGACTTGTCCGAGAGTAAAATTGTCGCTAGGGCATCCGCCAATGCTGTTACATAGTTTGCAATCACAGGATTATWTTCGGTTGCTTCTTTTTCCAGGATCAATAAACGATTCATAATATTTGTGGCCAGGATAATCCAATAACAATCAAAGTTGGAGCCGGCAGYTTTCACAGGAATTGTAACGTCCGCCGGAACTTTCTTGGTATCAGTCCAACATTTTCCATCGTAAAAAGTTTGTACTACATGCTCTGAACGAATCCTCGAAGACGCAATATCCAATARATGACGAAGGATGGGCATGCAGACATGGATCATTGGAGCTTCCGCGGGTATCGAAGTCCCTGTTTTTCTGCAAAGAACAGACAGCAATAAGCGGTGACAGGTGACGTTAGAATGGACACGGAGAAAAAAGATTAATTAGTGAAAGAATCAGGAGTAATGAAGAATTCAATACCGGAATGAATTTCGAACCCAGAAATACATTGCGCTTTCAATTGCGATAGTTATATCGGCAGCTATATCGGCAGATGAGCCGCAATCCAGACTTCAATGCACATCACGCCACTCCACTCACCTCTTCGCGGTTGCCTTTCCAATCGCAGAAGAGGCCTTGCGGCGCTTCTTTCCGGCCATTTTTTTTATACTCTGAACAATCCACCCACAATGGCTTCGGCGATAAARTATTTCGTGTCCAACGGATATTGTTGGGGCTGCCCTCTTCGCCGCAGTCAATCAAGGGTTATCGTAATTGAATCGTGAAACTCTGTCAGTGCAAAAGAAGCGTGCTGCTTGCTAGGTGAAGAGACAATCAACGAAACAAGCTGCAACGACATCTCTTGATGTACTACGGTATGTCGTACGATACCATCGAATAGATTTTTTTATTCGATGGAGCTCTGGGCCCTGAACCCCACTTTTGTAGTTGCGCGTTCTGTTTCGCGCGGTCAAAAAATAGCCATCCATGGCCTACAAATAACAAATAAGATTACATTTCGACTTCCACTTGCATCGAACTACTAAAGACCTACGTACTGTAATTACAAATTACTTCATCGTAAGTACTGGTACGTACTAATACGTACCTACCGTACTTGACTGATAGTATTGCATCGGTTATCGGTTCGTGACTGATGACGCTTCTGCATAAGGCGCGCGTCTTCGGTTGTTAATACTACGGTGCCTCTACGGTACACGTCATCGTGAGACGGAGATGGACCTCACTTCATGTTTCTCTCATTGACATCACAAGCAAAGGTGTAACAAATGAAAGGTCTCGTCTTGGAACTCAGCAAAATGGGCTCGGGTTTCGATACCAATCGTGCTAAAAAGTTCATCTCGGCGCTGAAACAATTTCGAAGTAATTTGCCACGCTTCAAGGCACAAGAGGAATGAGAGTTTTTTGGCAGACGCTTTCCTTGATTGCAACGAACAACAAAACCCCTTTTTCGGCGAGGAGCAGTACGATGTCRAGCGACACTACTTCTATAGCTGCCGTCAGCAAGAAGAAAATCTTGTGTCTTCATGGGAGATCCCAATCGGGTGACATAATGTCAAACAAAATTGCCGGTGCTCGAAAGAAACTCCAGCGTKTTTATGACTTGGATTTCTTGGATGCTCCTTTTGAGATTAAAGTAGTCGTAGAAAATAGTGGTGACGAAAACAATCAGCAACTTCCACCTCCACGCCAACTCGAATGGTGGATACGAGACGAATCTACGGGTAAACCTCAATCAAATGTGAGAGAGGCATTTGACTACGTGATTGAATCTACAAAGGGCAAAGATTATGATGCTGTGATTGGATTTTCCCAAGGCGGATTGTTGGGAACTGCAATGGTATTGATGGGGGCCTTTCCTACTGTTCGTGCTGTTGTGACAGCGGGCTCACCATTTCGAGAGGAACCMTTCGATGYAGCGAATCAATTTATAATGGAACTAGAAGAGGGRGACAATTCATCACTACTCGTTCGACAAAGAGGAAAGGGCATTCCAAAACTTCATTTTGCTGGTGAGACCGACAAAATGGTACCAGTCGAATCTGTCCAGCAGCTATGCGAGATTGGAGGGAATGGCCAAATAATAATTCACGAAAAGGGTCACATGTTCCCCACAAAAGCAGTGTACGTCAGGGAGATGCTGGAYTTCTTAGAAATGACGCTGGTTGACGATAGTGACCACAATAACAAGTCTGRCAATGAGGTTTAACATTTGTTTATTTGCACTCTTCAAGAAACTCCTYTTTGGATCTTTGTTTTGGCCTAWTCACGTCGGCGATGAAATTTCWTGGTGGAAGTTGCTTGGTGGAATTTGCTTGGTCTTAGGAATGATGAAGAGAAACACTAATGTTGTTTTTTCTTTGATTGCTGCGTCATCATGGCTTCWAAAATTCCCGGAACATCGCAGTTCTTAGTCATTAATTTTGATACTGCAACGTCCAATGAGTCCGCCAGAGAAGCCATTTTCTTGCTTGAAATATTTGAACAATCTAGGGCTTGATCCATACTTTGAACATCATGGAAGAAGGTCGGCGAGCACCAAACGTTTATTTCTGCTTGATCTAGAAATTTTGGAATATGTATTCCAGACGCATGCAACATGGTTCTTGTAGCAGCAAGCTCTATATCTTCGCCAGTGTTATTTTTGTCWMCGCCGCCATCCTTGTATATGGGATCTCCTARTAAAGGTATTCCCATTGCTTTTGCTGCTACCCTCAGTTGATGCGTCCTGCCTGTATAGGGACGAAACATGGCAACCGTCTTGACTTTTGACATCGCATTGATTACATCTCCTCCTTGATCAATTATTTGATTCGCTTGAATGCCGGTAGTAAAGAAACGTGTTTTCGCAAAGTTCCTTTGTGGCTTTTCGCCATGTTTTGGTTTCCGTAGAAGTTTCCAGCTCTTGTTGCGAGATCGTGTCATTCCGCCCTGGACCAGGCCCTGCTTTTTCTTTTGTGGTTTCTTTGCCGACATACCAAAATAAACCTTCTGAATTTTCCCCTTMGTGAAGTATTCAGATAGTGTGGATGCCGTCAAAGTATCCTTGGCMAACACCAGAATCCCCGACGTCACCTTGTCGAGACGATGGACGCCGTACAATCGTTCTCCTTCTTCATCTCTTTGACGCTGCCTTTCGCTTCTCAGTAGTCGAAGAACTCCTGGTGTGCTCAAGGCTTCATGACGTTGATCTTTGTTATCCAATGCAGCGAAGGAAGATGATTCGTCGTGATGGCCGATTCCGTGCGGTTTTCGAACCACAAGCACGCGGTTTGATTCGAACAAGACAGGGAACAAAGTTTCTGGTTCAGCATATTTCAGGGGTTGAAGCATCCCCTCAACCCCTCCAATCAAGTTCAAGGCAATGACAATGATAAGAACAAAAGTGGAGGCATTAGCTTTATCATCATTCCCGAACTTGTTCAATCCCTTCATTCTTTTCCGTTTTGTCCGACGCTTAAAAAAATCTCTTGCCTCGCGTCCACGCACAGCTTCCCTTGATTCAATTTGTTTGTACGTACAGTACCTCACTGTACCTGTACGACTGCATTTGCAAATTGCAAACTTGTTCAAAATCCGGAATTAAAAAGTACCAGTAGTTTGACAACATTTTCAATTAATGCTCATGTACTATGAATGAATCTCATACGGTAGCAATTGAATATGGTAACGACTGGTTGGCTGCCAACACTTAATTTAATTAATTTTAACTTATTTACTACTTCGTAGTCTTTCTGCGACTTGTTTTCGCACCTGAAATTACGCAAGCATAAATCATGTGCTTCTTCTCAATACGGAGAGGTCCCCCTCCAGATATGTTATATGCGGTGCCGTAATAAGTAATGCAATCAATGCAATACACATGGGCATTTATTTTAAAATGGCGGGTGACTTTTTCTGGCACCGTCTGCTGTGCAATTCAAGCATTCGAAATCTTCGTAACCATCCAACATGGTATTAGTGAAGCACGGACATTCTTCATCTATCCATTCTTTTTGATCAGAAGTCAAGCAATTCTTTTCAAAAGTTTTAATGTACGTGTAGTTTCCCACCTGACCATAGATTGGTGACGAAGTGCCCCATCCCGGGTGAAAGCACTCAAAGTTGTTGGGATCGCAGCACATACAACAATCGCATTCGACACCGGAACTATTCAACCCGCTGAATTTTCCGCAATAATCTGCGGCAAGAAAAGCAATCCTTTCATCCTTATAGCTCGTGCCGTTGCAAAAACCATTGAACGATCCTTTTAGTCCAATGTTACCATATATGCTAAGAATAGAGAGAGTTGGAATACGTGACAACGCTTCTGAAACGGTTCCAGTTAGACAATGATCGTTGAGGTTCACAGCGTCCAGCTTTTCAAAATCGTCGAAAAAGAGTGGAAAGCTACCACTAATTGAACCACCTCCTATGTTCAGCTCCACAAGCGACTCTTTAAAGTACGATAACTCAGAGGGCAACGTTCCTGACAAATTGTTCCAATCTGAATGTATAATTTCATAGCCAATAACAATATGTTTGTGTGCAATATCACCAACGTAAATTCAGAATGCAGATGGTCACGTTATTATATGTAAAGGATTTGTAAGGCAATAAGTTGAGATAWGTAGAAATTTGCTGACAAAATATGCAAYACGAACACATTGAAYYGGCCCGCRAAGCAAACCTACTTACACATTGTGATGCGAGAGACCCGCCCCTCCGTATCGCAAATTAYCCCTCTAGCATCGATCCCATCAGGGATGAAAAAGTMKTTCWYTTCTGTTGCAGTGGAACGAAATGTGTTCCAAAAGCATGCATCGATGTCCGATAGGAACAAGTACTGATTTTCCCAGTTTGATCCATTTGTAGCGAAGAAGAAGAGAGCTAAGACAAAATGCTGGCGGAGCTTTTTTACCGCAGYTTCAGTCGTTTTTTCTGGAAAGTCTTCCAAACTCAGGTCGCYATTGGTGTTGCTGGTACGCTGTTCGAGAACCGGGATAGAGAGGCGGGCCAGGTTCGTTGTAACAAGCCATTGGAGAGCGTCAATTCGATCAGGAGAGGCCTGGGAACTCTCCGGGTCAAATACTTGTGGATCAGAAACAATGGGTTCAAGAATATCAATAAGYGATGAGCGGCGTTCCGAATACTCGAAGGCGCTTAGGTTATTTTCCTCTGAAGTAGTGGTGATGTTCTCGGAGTCTCCAGTGAGAGAGTCTTTCGTCTGCTTCTTCTCGAAGGTAAAGAATACGACGAGAAAAATGGCAATGGYAACCATAATCACCACCAAAATGCAAGTGARAGCTTTAACATTATACTTGTACTTCCTCTCGTTGTCATCACTAGACATGGAATTGTCCCCATACTTTACAGCCRTGGCCACTGCGACGGGCTCGCTTTCGACTCGTAGCACATTGCTGTTGGATGACAAGGTAACAAGTGCTTCGGGGRCTGACGACGATGATCTAGACTCGGGAGGGGWTGAGCCGAGTTTGTTTCCAACCGCAACGGCATCTGGAATCGAGGTAGAATGATTGGAAGCAGCAWTGTGTTGTTTGTTAGTKAAAGGTTCTTCTATGRCTAAGAGGCTCCCAGACGCTTCGACATCTTTGTTTCTTTCTGTTGCGGGAGACTTTCTTGCATCGGACATGCTGTGATTTTAGTTCGATTCTCTCGGGTAGTCAAAGCTTGCGAGCAAATGAAGACTTTGTCATCAAGGTATGATATGTTTTTTCATAGCGGACGGTACGATCGATGGAACTTCAAGAAGGTGCTGTCGTCTGTGCGTAAGATTTGCACCATAATACAAATAACGAAATCCAGTCTTCGAGTCTGAAGCAACCGCTAAAGAAAAAATACCGCATTCACTAGTTCGGGTTCTATTTTTTACACCCTCATGCCACAATACAAATGACGAACCCCAGTCTTTGAAGTTTGTCTTTAAGTCTGAAGCAACTGCAGTAAGGATTAATGAAATACTGCATTCAGTAGTTCGGGTTCGTATTTTTACACCCTCATGATTAAGGCGCTGTTTCTTGTTCCTTATCTTTTAGAGCTACTAAGTACGGGCCCCATAATGGCAAGTTATTGGCAATCCCCGTACAAATACTAATAGAAATTTTTAGCTCATTTTTACAGTTAAAACCAGTTAAAAAAGGCATCCAACGGACAAAAATAAAAATATTTCCATTGTTTAATTTCTCGCTGGTCCTAAAATATTTCTATTAGTGCTCCTTACTACTGGGGATATAAAATCAGTGCTCTCGCAGCACCAACAGAACCCCCTTACCCAGCAGTTTGAAGTTTTCACTACTATGCCATCCCAACTAGTAAGTAGTAATGGAGGGGATCCAGTAGTAAGCAGTAATATTAATTCTCAAGTAGTAAGCACTGATTTTATATCCCAAGTAGTAGCAGTACTAAGGAGCACTAATAGAAATATTTTAGTAGGACTTGGTAGTTTTTTGTGTGGAGGGGGGGGGAGAGGGGAAATAAAGACGGGAAAATGGGAAAAAATTGACACCTGGGGGATTGCCAATAACTTGCCATTATGGGGCCCGTACTTAGTAGCTCTATTATCTTTGGGCTTCATATAATTTTCAAATCGAATTTTTTCAAACGCACGAAATTACACCTCGCTTATGAAAATTATCACCTAGAATTCCTACTGATTCCTACGTACATTCCTACCTGACAAACTCCTTCTGGCTTCTGAATACAGTACCCCACCATGGTGACATCCCCTTCGGAAGGGGAAAATCCTCCTCCCTGGCCCTATTCAAGCAGCAACCAAGCAATGTAATCAAGACTATTCCAAATACATCGATCCCCCAGCTGGTGGTGTTTGCCCCAGTTGGATCCATCCCCTGTTCCTCCGGAAGTGCTGTATCTTCCGGTATTGAAGTTGTTTCCGGCTTTCGTGCCGGAATGCGACAACACCAACCCCAGCCCCCAGTATTCAACCAAGACCTAGTGCAGAGGACCAAACCTGGAGTATATGCTGTCTCATAGTACATCATACTCAGTTTAAAGAAGATTTCCCAGCATCTCCATGCAGCAGTTCCTATTCCAGCATTTTAAGGACCGGACGAAGATTCCGGTCACGACGTTGTTGTTGTTGTTTCCGGCATTCGTGTCGGGATGCAATAACACCAACCCCAGCCCCCAGTATTCAACCAAGACCTAGTGACGAACAAGCCTGGAGTATATCATACATCATACTCAGTTTAAAGAAGATTCCCCAGCATCTCCATGCAGTTCCAGTAATTTAAGGACCGGAAGCAGATNAACAAGCCTGGAGTATATCATACATCATACTCAGTTTAAAGAAGATTCCCCAGCATCTCCATGCAGTTCCAGTAATTTAAGGACCGGAAGCAGATTCCGGTCACGACGTGGTTGTTGTTGTTTCCGACATTTGTGCTGGAATGCAACAACACCAACCCCAGTTATTCCAGCTGAGTGATTTACCTCAGCTGGACCCATCCCCGGTTCTCAAGGACCAGAAGCACCAGCAGTGTTTTCTGGTCACGATTGTTGTTGGTTCCGACACTCAAGTCGGAATGCAATAACACCAACCCCAGCCCCCAGTATTCAACCACGACCTCGTGAAGAACAAGCCTGGAGTATATGCTACATCATACTCAGTTTTAAAGAAGATCCCCCAGCATCTCCATGCAGTTCCAGTATCCGTTACAGTATTCTACGGACCGGAAGAAGATTCCGGTCACGACGTTGTTGTTGTTCCCGGCATTTGTGTCGGAAAGCAATAACACCAACCCCATCCCCCAGTATTCAACCAAGATCTATCCTTTGAAGAACAACGCCTGGAGTATATGCTACATGATCATACATCATACTCAGTTTAAACGAAGATTCCCAGCAGCATCTCCATGCAGTTCCAGTATCAGTTCCAGTATCAGTTCCAGTATTTTACGGACCGGAAGAAGATTCCGGTCACGACGTCGTTGTTGTTGTTTCCGGCATCTGTGCCGGAAAGCAATAACCGGTCCCAATCAAACCCAGTTGAGTGCAATTGGCTCACCAGCTGGATCCATCCCCAGTTCTCAAGGACTGGAAGCCCCAGCAGTGCTTCCGGTCACGATTGTTGTTGGTTCCGACACTCCTGCCGGAAAGCAACAACACCAACCCCAGCCCCCAGTATTCAATCCCGACCTATTTTGAAGAACAATGCTTGGAGTATATGCTATATACTCAGTTTCAAAGAAGATTCCCCAGTAACTCCGTGCCGTTCCAGTATTTTACGGACCGGAAGAAGATTCCGGTCACGACGTTGTTGTCGTTGTTTCCGGAATCCATGCCAGAAAGCAATAACACCGTCCCCAGTTCCTCCAGCTGAGTCCCTCAGCTGGATCCATCCCCAGTTCTCAAGGACCGGAAGCCCCAGTGCTTTCCGGTCACGATTGCTGTTGTTTTCCGACCTCCGTGCCGGAAAGCAACAGCAACACCCTCACGATTGTTGCTGTTCCTGTCTTTTGTTAGGGANGTGAAGTATTCAGATAGTGTGGATGCCGTCAAAGTATCCTTGGCCAACACCAGAATCCCCGACGTCACCTTGTCGAGACGATGGACGCCGTACAATCGTTCTCCTTCTTCATCTCTTTGGCGCTGCCTTTCGCTTCTCAGTAGTCGCAGAACTCCTGGTGTGCTCAAGGCTTCATGACGTTGATCTTTGTTATCGAATGCAGCGAAGGAAGATGATTCGTCGTGATGGCCGATTCCATGCGGTTTTCGAACCACAAGCACGCGTTTTGATTCGAACAAGACAGGGAACAAAGTTTCTGGTTCAGCATATTTCAGGGGATGAAGCATCCCCTCAACCCCTCCAATCAAGTTCAAGGCAATGACAATGATAAGCACAAAAGTGGAGGCATTAGCTTTATCATCATTCCCGAACTTGTTCAATCCCTTCATTCTTTTCCGTTTTGTGCGACGCTTAGATTAAGAAAGAAGATGCTCGATAGTCACCTTTTCAACAGAATCAAAAACTGACACCGATTACTACGCGTAAAACAACAATTGAAACTAAGTTAATGGAAAACATTGGGAACGTTAATTTAAACATTCCGAATGTTACCAGCATAGGCTTCGTAGAAATTAGTACTGTGTTTTTTGCTTCAATTTAACGTCCTGAATCCTGAATGCTTTGCTTAACAGTCTGAATATTTGTGGAACAGTCTGAATATTAGGAGGGGAGGCATCCTCTTCTTCCTCTTTTTAACATCCCTTCTTCCTTTTTTAGGCATGTGGAAGACTGAATGAAGAATGTGGATAATACTAGGATCTACGTAAGTCTACGTGAAAAATTAACATTCGGTACATTAAATTAACATTCCGTACGTTAAATCAAACATTCAGAATGTTAAATTAATGTTCCCAATGCCTCCACTAACGTAGTTTCAATTGTCGTTTTATGCGTAGTACCAATTTGGAATTTGGAATACTAGTTTGTGTATTGTAATCAACCAGTTGCTCGCTTTTCACGTGTAATCACACGCGCTGGATTACAAAAATATTACATGTAACCTCACTCTAACAAATATAAGTTAATTTTTTGTGTAAATCTCACACCTTGATGGATTACAAACCTGCAAAATGGATTTCATGTAATCCAAAATTGTATTCAGTGCTCTACAGAGCAAGAGCCTTATTTTTCCCACAGTAGCGCTAGTTGTCTGGCTGCATCGGATTACTACTCTGAAAACAAAATTTTCACCACCATGGATTACTTTTTTTGAGGTCAATCACGTCACACAAACGGGATCCATGGTATTGCGCATTTCACATGGTCAATACCCTTAAATTTTCTGGTCCTACCGTTAGTTTATGAATTACAAATTAATTTATTGAACATCTAATTTTATTCCTTGTTCTGGGAACATGTTTTCTCAATCACGCTCTCATCTATCCCCTTATCCATTGAACTTCATGGTCTAGTATGCCAATCCACAGACAATGTCAATAATCTCCATCATGGTTTACGAGCTGCTTTTGCTTCTTTCAAAGAAGTATGTGAGTCCTCCCATGGTATTGAATGGAAGAATTGTCCATGGAACGGGAAGCTTTTCAATGTGAAAATGAAGTTTGTGATGGCATTTTTCATTGGGGACACAGAGCAGCAGGACAAGCTCTGTGGTCATTACACCTCCGCAAACACTAGAATGATATGCAGACACTGTAGCTGTCCCCGTGCCCTTGGAATCAATGCCAAAGTTAAGGTGCTGAATGCATCTGTTGTTGAAGAGTTCGCGGCACTGGGAGCCCCTACAGGGAACGATTGCGACACTGACGTGTGGGAAGAAGAGACAGAAGAATGTTCTTGGTAAAAGAGGTTAAAAATAACTCCTAAAGGAGATTTCACAATCTATTTGCCTTCCCTTTGTTTAAAGACTCATCTGTTCCTGATGGTGTATCCCTTGGTCAACATTGTTGGAACATCTCTCATCACAATATCCTACATGGCAATGCTTTTCACAAACTCAACTTTGGTGCAAATCTGCATAGCATACACCTGGCTTCTCCTGGGGAGAGACTTCATATGCACCAGTTAGGCTGTGCAAAAAGAGCTGCTGAAACCTTCCGTGATGTATTTCTTGGAACTTCAAAGAAACTTCTTGACAGTATGGACTCACAAGCTAACTTCTATGGATCCTCACTACAGAGGCAGTCTGATCTTGACTTTCCTTGTACCAATTCTTCGGACTATACATACCGCAAAGAAGGAGGGTAACCATTTTAGTGGAATGCTGTTACTGCAGATCCTCTGTTTGTTATCAGATGAAGGTTGCAGGCTACTAATTAACCATCATACCAAAGACATGATAGACAGTCACATTTATGCATTGGAACTGATATTGGGCATGGAAGAGTTCTTAAAGTGGTCCAGCACCACGCAGGATATATTTGGAATTGTTTCTCCTGATAGCAAAGGGTTATTCAATGACAATTCCGGCCCTCCAGTTTTGGAAGATGTCTTTAAGTACCCCAAAGGGACGTCTGGAGCAACCAACCTGGTGGACAAGATGGTTGTTCATTTCCTTGACATCATCAACAAATACTTGATGCAAACGGATGGGATGGGCAACAACCTTATAAAGAACCACATGTACTTTCATCTTTCCCAAACAAAGAAGTTGATCGGTTTCACCAAACACAAAAGAATTGACTTGGCAACAAATGAAACACTGCTATTCCATGTACACCCCTCCTTCAAATCCAATTCTGGACAAGAATGCAATGTGTGGTACAACTGAGCGTATTTTCTTGTCCATCTCCCTAACAAAAGGGGTGTTTACCCGTTGACAATGATGGCAATCCTGTTCTGAAGGGCTATCCATGCCAGATACTATGCTTTCTAGACATCGACTGACCAACTAGTACTCACTCAGTAAGGGGCTTTGATGTCCATGATACAGGTTTCTACACAGTTGTTTGATGTTTTTTGGAAGAACAAGAATTTTGTAGCTGCCAAAAGTATCCCAATGGGAAACCTCATTCATTTGTGAAGAAGGGAATGTTGCGCTCTGGGTTGTATGTGTTTCCTTGCTCAAGCATTTACTCAGAAGCTGCTGTCGTTTGTGATGTTGGATCAAAGGACAAATTTTTTGTTGTTCATAGCAGGGACCAATGGCTTACTAACTTCAACCACGTCACAAGTTCCATGAAATCAGTTAGCGTAACAGATATTATAGCAGAGAATTGCAACAAGAGTGTCTGACAATGGGCTAGATTTTTCCTAGGACCGAGTAAAGCAGGGAACATGAGAACGCTGTTCTCAGTTTTTGTGTTGGTTCCGTTTCTTGCAACAAGGGCGTAGATATTGATATGATGTTTATATTTGTATGAAATATAAATATTAGATATCAATATTATTAAATAGTACACCACATAGTACATATAAGTGTGAAAACTTGAATATCTTAGGTCATATTTTTGTGTAGGTATTCCTTGGCAAACTGAACAAAGAATCTATGGGAGCAAAAGTCCAGTGTAGTCCTCTCCTGTTGTACTGCTGTCATACAAACAGTGTAATCTGCTCTCATCTCCTTGGATGCCGCCCCTAATGAACTCCCATCCTGGAACACTGCTGCAGTAACTACTTCCACATTGCCCTTCAGCTCATCTGATGCATACTGTAGGGCTGTTCCATTTTGTTGAACAGCCGCAGTCACTACTTGCAGGTTGCCCTTCAGCTCATCAGATGCGTAACCAAGTGCATCCCCATCCTGGGACACAGCTGCAGTCACTACTTCCAGGTTGTCCTTCAGCTCATCTGGTGCATACCATAGTGCCTCTCCATATTGTTTCACCCCCGTCGTCAGAACTTGCAGGTTGTTCTGCGGCTCATCAGATGCGCACCCGAGTGCATTTCCATTGTTGGACACTGAAGCTAGTACTACATTGAGGTTATTTTGCAGGTCCTTAGATGCCAATTTCAAACAATAACTATCTAGGGACACTGCTGCAGTCACTACTTGCAGGTTGCCCTTCAGCTCATCCAATGCAACCTGAAATAGTGACTGCAAACAAGATCTACGCTGGGACACTGCACGATGCCATACCTTGCCTTTCAGCTCATCTGATGCATACTATATTGCTTGGCTGTTCTGTCTCACTGCAGTATTTACTAAGAGAATGTTGTTTTGTATGTCCTGAGAAGCATATTCCAAAGAAGTACCATCCTGGGACACTGCCAAAAACACTACTTGAAAGCTGCCTTTCAGCTCATCTGATGCATACTGTAGTGCTTGTCCAGAACTGCAGCAATAACTAAGTCAATGTTGTTTTGTAGTAGCTCCTGAGATGCAAATTCCAATAAAGTACCATCCTGTGACACCGCCGCATACACTACTTGATAACTGGTGTCCTTAATCTCCTATGATGCATACCATAGTAGTGCTCGTCCACCCACTACCGCAATTGCAGCAATCACAACTTGTTTGTTGTGCTTGAACTGCTCTACAAAGTCAGAGAATGGATTGCTGGAACGCCAATGACTTTCCATGGACAAATCGAATGCCTTAAAAATAGGAGGGTAACAGCTTTCAGACCAGATGTACAAGGACACAACTTTTTGCTCAAATACCAGAAAAATAGGAGTGTAAAAAAGCAAAGACTGGATGTACAAGGAGACAACTGTTTGCTCTGATGAACTAGTAGTTGCCAATTCAATTAGACACCTCATCTGGGTGCCGTTTGTGTTGGCCATCCCATACAGTATGAATGAAAAATCACTGATGGTCCTCAATGCTGTAATTATATCTTTTTTGTTGCTTTTTGGTCCTTGAAGTAGCAATTACATCTCATTTGTTGCTTACTATTGGTCCTTGAAGTAGCGATTACATTTCATTTGTCGCTTGTTGGTCCTTGAAGAAGCGCTGTGGACTCTTGCATGCTGCACAAGAACTGCAGAGGCAAGATAAAACAACTCAGTAGTGTTCTTCAAGCTATGCTTGAAAGCCTGTTCAATTTTGGGTCCCTGTCGTTACCCTGGTTGCTCAGTTAACACTAGAAACAACATGGCTGGGAAAAACTTAGAATGCTGTTCTCAGTTTTTGTGTATTTTTGGTTTTTGCAGTTTTAGCGCAAAACTGAACACAATTTGCCATTTATACATGGAGCACGAATCTTGAGAACGGTGTTCTCAAAATTGGTATACAACCAATTTTGGTACTGCTAGCATGAAGCTTTACACAATCCAATGGGTACAATAACTTGTTTTCCAACTAATCCTGAGTTGTCTCAAATTTTTAGGAAGTTATTTAACTCTCATACACTATTTTTGTAATCAATTGGTGTAAACACTACTTAAGTTAGGTGATTTTCTGGTTGCTCACTAGTCATTATCAACTAACAGCACTAACACGGTTGAGTTACCTTTTCTTGCTGTGTCGGTTTTTTGCTGTCGGATGTCCTCAGAGATACCACAGCTTCCTGGATGACATGATCGTTGTCGTAATCCTCTGTTGTTTCCTCCCACTTTTCATCTATTGCAAACCTTCCATAGTACAATTTAATCCGCTTCCTTTTCTTTTCGCCAAACACAAAGCTTTTGTCATGAAAGCTTCCCATATGAGACTGTTGTGTTTGCTGTTCAAACTCTGTTGATTTTCCCTTTTGTTCCTTGCTTGTTTTTTTAGTTGGTATCAATCAAACTCTCCCTCCCAATACAAGTTGGAATTCTCACAGAAATTGTCTTTGTAGAGACATTCCTTTCCTTTCATTACTGTCCACAGTTGATCATCTGACATTGCGTTCCATCCAATCACGTCCCACAGGATATAAGATCCCTTATGCACTCCACTCCTCAACTCAAAGAAGCTGGGCCTATACCCTGGACCACCGCTATGTGTACATTGCTTAACAACAGTCCTACTAGCAAGGGGAGTTTTGAATTCCAACTTTTTGGTGGATATGTTTGCACGCTTGCATCCAACATTCTTCTATGTTTGGAGCTAGATACTGGTCCAATTCTGATATTGTCGTAGCATTGCTTGTCTTCTTTGTTTCTCAACCCAGGATAACCACACAGTAGGTAACACAGAATGATACCCAAGGCCCAAACGTAAATGTCCCTGTCTTTGGGATATTTGTTGTTGTCGTACTCCATGCATATGTAGTCCCCCACGTAGTCAACCGCCTTGCGGAAGATTTCCCTTGATTCAATCTTGTCAAAATAACCTTCTCTACTACTGTTTAGTTGTTTCCTGACAATTTCTGTGTTGTTGGAACCATCAAGAAATTCCATGATCTTTGGACCGTGTTCTCTACATAAATCATGACAAAGAACAGTCCTGAAATGGTACGGTTGTGGGTCAATGTCAATGAGCTCTGTGACGTAAAATTGTTCTCTGGCACTCACCCTTTTCTTGTAGTCTTGCTGTCTTTTCAGCAAACCCTTTAGGTGTCTCACGACTCTAGTTTTCTCTTCATCATGTCGGACCGGCCCCATGGTGGAAAAAATGTTTACCACAACAGAATGCTGTTTTCCCAATTTGTGGGAAGACTGCGCTTTTGCCAGGTTTGAAATCAAATTTTAAAAAGGGGCGCCTGATGGATTAGCTTAGATTTTTAGTATAATTTTTAGTATAGAGTACCAAAATTGTTGTACTAGTAGTACTACACCACAAACAAACTGTAAGTAGGTTTTGTATTACAGAGACTGGAACTGTGCACTGGAAACCAGCACCACAGACAAGACGAATGCACTTTGACTCAGACTGTAGCCTTTTTTTTGGCAATGCAATAATTTTTTATGTGACCTCACATTTCTTTTTATAGTTCCAAACGACAGAGAGGCAAGGTTGACAGCCAATTACTCTACAGAATGAGAGCTAGAGCATTCAATATAGCATTACATAACTACCCTTACTGAAAAAATCTCTTGCCTCGCTCGCGTCGCGTTCCTTGATTCATTTTTTTTGTACCGGTACGTACAGTAGTACCAGTACGACTGCATTTGCAAATTTGTAAATTGCAAACTTTTTCAAAATCAGGAATTAAAAAGTAGTTTGACAACATTTTCAATATATGCTTATGTACTATGAATGACTCTCATACGGTAGCAATTGGATATGGTAACGACTGGTTGGCTGCCAACGCTAATTTAATTAATTTTAACTTCTTATTTACTAAACTTCGTAGTCTTTCTGCGACTTGTTTTCGCACTTGAAATTACGCAAGCATAAATCATGTGCTTCTTCTCAATACGGAGAGGTCCCCCTCCAGATATGTTATATACGGTGCCGTAATAAGTAATGCAATCAACGCAATACACATGGATATTTATTTTAAAATGGCGGGTGACTTTTTCTGGCACCGTCTGCTGTGCAATTCAAGCATTCGAAATCTTCGTAACCATCCAACATGGTGGTAGTGAAGCATGGACATTTTTCATCTATCCATTCTTTTTGATCAGAAGTCAAGCAATTCTTTTCAAAAGTTTTAACGTACGTGTAGTTTCCCACCTGACCATAGATTGGTGACGAAGTGCCCCATCCCGGGTGAAAGCACTCAAAGTTGTTGGGATCGCAGCACAAACAACAATCGCATTCGACACCGGAACTATTCAACCCGCTGAATTTTCCGCAATAATCTGCGGTAAGAAAAGCAATCCTTTCATTCTTATAGCTCGTGCCGTTGCAAAAACCATTGAACGATCCTTTTAGTCCAATGTTACCATATGTGCTAAGAATAGAGAGAGTTGGAATACGTGACAACGCTTCTGAAACGGTTCCAGTTAGACAATGGTCGTTGAGGCTCAAAGCGTCCAGCTTTTCAAAATCGTCAAAAAAGAGTGGAAAGCTACCACTAATTGAACCACCTCCTATGTTCAGCTCCACAAGCGACTCTTTAAAGTACGATAACTCAGAGGGCAACGTTCCNTTTGAAATGATATTGGCATGGTTCTCATCCATCCAAACTGTGAACCACCTGCTTTTATGTCCTCTGAGTTCAGCCTTCTTGGGCCTTTGGCCTATCAGTGTGCATAAAACTTGGTCGCGCCTCCACAAAACCTCCTCGGAGGGAGGCGCCGCCCCTCGGAGCAGCTGGAAGCATTCTTTCTAACCAAAGCTATGGTTCTGGCCATATAGTGCCTCTTCTAGTTCACGAGGTTAAATATAATATTAAGATTTTTTTTTTATCTTTGGGCTTCATGTTTGTTCATAGAACGTGGCGTTGTCTACGCGAGGGAGAAAATGCAAATTTGCATTGAAGTACAAATTTAGTCCCTTAAGTGTTAAATGCATGCAATAAACTGCCCAATCTACCCCAACCCCAACTTAACATCAGAATAAGACGTCTACGTAGTTTTTGGCAGAAAGTTGCAATTTCATCCAGTTGCATTTTCTACCTTGCATAGTTGTGCGGAAGGATCATCGGGTGAATCTTTTCGAATATTGGACCGACGGACAGATAGAGAAACGCGAACCAGACAAAACAGCTACTAGTAGTACTACTTCCTCCAGTCCCCTACTATATGTCATTGCGACCCTAGTATTTTGCTGTCCCAAAGTGTCCTGTCGATACCAAAGCAGAATTGGAATTGGTATCCAATTCTGCAAACTCCTCCTCATACTCCTTTGATACCACTAGTAGTGCACCTGTTGGTGGTGGGGAGTCTCACAGTATCACATCCACAGCAGCAGTGGATGTGTAGTACTTGGCAGAAGCATTGGTGATGCGCTTGTTCTTCACCCATCTCAGGTCCATTGCCACCTCGCATTCTGTCACTGAGTCCTGTGTTAATGGGTCAGCAGCCCTGGGCTTCTCCATGTTGTCAGTGTTGGTGCTGGTGGTGTTGTCAACGTCGGCAGTCTCCTTGGGAGCAACAATCCCCTTGGTGTTGGTGCAGAAGGCTGGAGGTTACAAGGCTTCCCCCAACCACTGGCAAAGTTCACTTCAACAAGTTGCTGGAAAGTGGTCATTTTTCCCACTTGCTGGCTTTTTTTGCTCCTGGAGGATTCCTACTCAGCCCTACACAGTGAGAATGTTGGAAACCTGCTGCAAAAGTGGTTGAAAACTCAACAGATACCAAAAAAAAACAGCAACAACAAGCGGCACAAACCCCTTCCTTGTAGTGAATGTACTAAATTCAGCACTTGCTCACAGATTCCAGCAGGCAAGGTGTCTGGATGCAGCTGTTTGGGGTCAGGAAGGAGCTGTATGAGCTGTGCATACATTAATCAGTGCAAGAACAGATACAAGCCAATATTGACTAAACTGGTGAAGGCCTACAGCAACCCTGGCAGAATCGATTCCTTCTTCCAGCAACCCTTCCCCCTCCCCGTCATTGCTCTAGTAGATCTAAAGGACCCATTTCAGAGGGTGCTGATCCAGCCACCTTTGCCCCCCCCCCCCCCCACCTCAGGGGCTCCAGGACAAGCTGACACCAATGGTGAGGACACTGCAGACAACAACACCAAAAACAACGTCACGACCACCAACAAGGTTGCTAAGCCCAGGAATGAGCCATTACTAACACAGGATTCCAATACACAATTCCTTGCAGGCATTGCTCAGGTGAAGCACCTTGGACGGGGGACCACCATCAGGGGGCCCAAGTACAGATCCACTTTTGCTGTGGACAAGGCAAAGGCCCAAAAAGGTGCCTTAAAGGAGGATCCTTTGGTTCTGTCAGATTCACCTTCATCCAAGGACATGGATTCACATGATACAGATCACAATGCCGCATTCTGAGACTACTGCGGAGGCTACTAGTACTGCGGAGGCTACTAGTACTGCGGAGGCTACTACTGTTGCTGATGGGGAGGCCTTGGAGGCAGCTTTTTTGTGTGAGTCAAATAATGCTGCATCAACCACTCTCCCGGCGCCAAATTTGGAGGCTAGTTCCTTGCCTTCCGCACCTCCATTACGGTGATTTGACTTAAGGGCTCATGCAAGGCAACAAGGCCAACAATGGCTACTACGGAAGAAAAGAAATGAGGCACCTTTTCATCCCAAGGCCAAAAGCAGGACAGTGGCAGAGGCAGCAACACCCCATATCCTCAATGGGACCGTTCAGTTCACCAAAGAATTTTGAGACAACCTACAACTGTGATTTGGCCTCCATCCTCTACACCTCCCCAAGGGGTGTGATGGATGCAGTGTCATCTTCACTGTCAAACACACCATGCCCTGTAGAAAGTGCAGGCTTGTTTTCCACCGTCACAACAACATTGCAGGAGAATGGCACCAGTTCTGTGTCAAGGCCTTGACACCAAGCAGTGTTACTGATGATCCACGAATACCCATCTACCACCCTCCACCAGCTCAAAAGCAACGCCAATGCAACACCCCACCACCACCAAGAGAGCTCAGAGTTGATCTCTATGTGCATGGATTTGGAAGCAGGGCACCACCACAGTGTTTGATATCAGAATCACCACAGATACTGATTCATCCTCCTATGAAAAGAAGAAGGCTCCACTGCATGTGCTCGTCCATTTACAAGAACAGGAGAAGAAGGACAAGTATGAGGACCATTGTCACCAAGCACACCAGCACTTCACACCTCTTGTTTACTCCATTGATGGCATGGAGGGCCCAGAGGCAATTGCAGCTCAAAAGCAGCTTGCCTCCAGGCTTGCTTCCAAATGGGGATGGAACTACTTGCAAGTATGCAGCCTTGTCAGATCCAGAATTGGATTTGCTTTGGCAAGAGCTGCTAGTAGCAGATGCTTGCGGGGCACTTGCAATGCCCGATTGAAATTCAATCAGCCGCTTGATTAGATCTTTTATTCTGGTGTCCAGGTGTATGCCTATCAACATAGCCAGATTCCATCTTGTCTAGTTTCTTGTGGGTGTTTTGAGTGTGGTTTCCTGCTGAGTTTCCGTGCTTGGACACTTCGTCTCAGAAATGTCGGAGCTAGGAAATGTCAGAGCAAGCTCCAAAAACATGGGAGCTTGGCCCAATTGATCAAAATCAAGCCAGATTTCATCACTCTGTGTTATTTGAATGTGTTTTGACTGTGATTTCTCACTCAATTGACTCAGGTTTTTCTCCATAACATACATATGATCTTCTTATGATCTTTAGTAGTACTAACTAACGCTTCGGTTTGACCCTTAACTCATACTAGTAATCAAAACCTACTACTACTACTGCTGCTGCTGCTGCTACTACTACTACTACTACTACTACTACTACTACTACTACTACTACTACTACTAGTCTAGTACTGTCATGGAAAATTATGTTCATTTTTCAATAGTAAAATAGTACCACAAATATCAATTTAATATCCAAGAAAATGGTATACTATTCAGAATCAGCATGAAAAACTGCTGGAGTAGACTGGCTAGTACTAGTACTCAAAGATCATGGAAGTCGACACATTAAAAACACTAAAATAGTTTCGACTGTAATTGGCTTGCTTCAGCGGAAGGGGGGGTCTGGGGGGGGGGGTGGATTTTAAAGAAAATTTCCAGAGCAATCCTCTTTTTAGTTGTAGAGCCAGCAGGAGGGTTTTAACTACTAGTACTAGTACTACTAGTAGTACTACTAGTACTACTAGTATGAAAGAACATTGTAAAACAATAAAGTTAGGGGAATGAGATGCCAGCTTAAATGCTGGTGGCATGCCACTAAATTGAAAATAAATTTGACTTCCACTGCCACTGAAGCAGACCAATTAAAATAGTAGTATTTTTGGTAACGTGGTAACTGCTGGTTAAAGGTTGGATAGTTCTACTAGTATTATGCAGTAAAAGTGAGAATTGAAAAAATCCTGGGGTGACTTGGAAATTTGGACCACACGTGGACTATGAGTTTCTTCTTTTTTCCCAGGAGTTTTCGATTCGATCCGCACCCCTCCTTATTTTATGACTCCTGCCCGGTACCATGTCGTACTTTACCCATCGAAGACGCGCTGCAACCAACACGGATGAAAATACGACGTTGATCGTGCGACTTACTTCGGAGCAATGATTGTTCGGGCTTCAAACGAGCGACTGCGGCTTGGTCTCATAGGTGCTCTCACGATAGCTGTTTTGTCGTTGTCGACGGCTTTAGTCGTTGATAATTGCATCCGGAGAAAACTTTCTGCAACAACTTGTCGGAGACAAAGTCTTTCATCTTCTTGTGTGTTGAAATCATTTGTAAATCATTATCCGGATGTTTCTAACAGCCGCAACGATAGAAATGGACCAGAAACACAAGCAGCTGCAACAAGAGGTGCGCATTCATCCGGTAGTGGCAGCAACAAGAGAATTGCCATTGTAGCTGGGAATTGGAAGCTCAATCCTTCCACGGCACAAGAGGCGTCGACCCTCTTGAATCTGCTGGCTTCGAATTTTGTCCNACCGCAGTTTCAGTCGTTTTTTCTGGAAAGTCTTCCAAACTCAGGTCGCTATTGGTGTTGCTGGTACGCTGTTCGAGAACCGGGATAGAGAGGCGGGCCAGGTTCGTTGTAACAAGCCATTGGAGAGCGTCAATTCGATCAGGAGAGGCCTGGGAACTCTCCGGGTCAAATACTTGTGGATCAGAAACAATGGGTTCAAGAATATCAATAAGCGATGAGCGGCGTTCCGAATACTCGAAGGCGCTTAGGTTATTTTCCTCTGAAGTAGTGGTGATGTTCTCGGAGTCTCCAGTGAGAGAGTCTTTCGTCTGCTTCTTCTCGAAGGTAAAGAATACGACGAGAAAAATGGCAATGGCAACCATAATCACCACCAAAATGCAAGTGAGAGCTTTAACATTATACTTGTACTTCCTCTCGTTGTCATCACTAGACATGGAATTGTCCCCATACTTTACAGCCATGGCCACTGCGACGGGCTCGCTTTCGACTCGTAGCACATTGCTGTTGGATGACAAGGTAACAAGTGCTTCGGGGACTGACGACGATGATCTAGACTCGGGAGGGGTTGAGCCGAGTTTGTTTCCAACCGCAACGGCATCTGGAATCGAGGTAGAATGATTGGAAGCAGCAATGTGTTGTTTGTTAGTGAAAGGTTCTTCTATGGCTAAGAGGCTCCCAGACGCTTCGACATCTTTGTTTCTTTCTGTTGCGGGAGACTTTCTTGCATCGGACATGCTGTGATTTTAGTTCGATTCTCTCGGGTAGTCAAAGCTTGCGAGCAAATGAAGACTTTGTCATCAAGGTATGATATGTTTTTTCATACCGGACGGTACGATCGATGGAACACCTTTCGTCTGTGCGTAAGATTTGCAGATTTGCACCATAATACAAATGACGAAATCCAGTCTTCGAGTCTGAAGCAACCGCAGTACGGTTTAATTAAAAAATACTGCATTCACTAGTTCGGTTTCCTATTTTTTACACCCTCATGCAACACTACAAATGACAATTCCCCGTCTTCTTAGTTTGTCTTTAAGTCTGAAGCAACTCCAGTGAGAATTAATGAAATACTGCATTCAGTAGTTCGGGTTCGTATTTTTACACCCTCATGCTTAAGGCGCTGTTTTTTGCTCCTTATCTTTGGGCTTCATGTTTGTTCATAGAACGTGGCGTTGTCTACGCGAGGGAGAGAATGCAAACTTGCATTTAAGTACAAATTTAGTCATTTAAGTGTTAAATACATGCAATAAACTGCCCAATCTACCGGGAGAGCCCCCGATCGCGCGTTTTGTAATATCCGCGCGTCGAGGGGGAACAGGGAAATCTGTTAAACAGAATGTTGTCTATTCGGGGGCTTTAAGAAATTTGATTATGGCGGAATGTCTGAAAATAAAATTAATTATCGGTGAATTAAAAGTTTATTAATCTCATTAAATAATGTTATCAACCTCATTGATTAACTTTATTAATCCCGGGAATGCGTCCATTAACTGTTTTTCGACCCCTTTTTTTTGTAAATTTCCGGGGTTTGTACCTATTCTCAACCCATGAATGAACATATTTTGTGAGTGAAAATAATACGTGGGTTGCGATTCCCGACCGGACTTACTACCTCACTTGTCAATTAATTTTAAAAAAAATATTCGATGAGTCGTGGGGGTTGAGAATTAATTTTGAAAGTCATGGGATGACCTGCTGTCAAAATGTCAAGTCACGTGGTGCCAATTTATTTTACTCACCTTTGCATAGTGGGATCGCAAATTGTATTGTTTTATTCCATGGTCTAAACATAGTCGAATAAATTTCCAATTTATTTCAATTCTATTTTGGTGTGGTTGAGTTCATGTTTTTGCGGTACATTAGAATCCCATGGTACAAGTTTTCGAATCACTTTTTGATTTTTTCAATTAAATTTGAAATGTTTGGTTCTCTCAACAGGTGCAGCTAGAATTGTATGGTACAAGTGTTCAAATCACATTTTTGATTATTTCAATTAAATTTTAAATGTTTGGTTGTTTCGAAAGGTCCAGCGNCCACTGGCGTAACAAGGAACCTCCACGATCTCATTGTTCTTGTTCACTGTGTACTTGTTCCATACTGGAGCAAACAGGTCAACAAGCTCCCTGAAGACCTTGTGGTCTACACCACAGCAGTTTAAGAGAGATTGGTCATCCCCTGAGTGAAACATGTACAGGAAAGGGGAAGTGGCGTACTTCCTGATTGCAATCCTTGGGGTTCTCTGGTCCCTCCTTCGGCGCTCCTCTGGAGACAGTTTGCTTTTGTAGCTCCGATGCTCTTCCTCAGACTGCAACYGGAGGTACCAGTACATGGTGATCACTTCCATTAATCCCATTGCCGATGGTCAATGTTGTCTTTCTTGTTGCTGGGAAGAAACTGTTGTCTTTTAGTGTGTTTCCGTACTTTAATGCATAAATTCATTTCAACTTATTTTCTAGGAAAATAAGTTGGAATGAGTTTATGTCTTACTCTAGTTGTTGAGTATCGGAAATTTCATGTTTTACTTAGTACCAAATACCAAAGGGCGCGCGTTTTGAGTCTTTTTAGTCTTTACGCTGGAGTATAGTTAAGATTCCAGATTCCAAAAAAGACTGCAGTAAAGTCCGGCTTGCTCTCAGTCTGTCCGTTGAATATTTCATTCCCGTTATTATAAAAGTAATATAAATGCCAGATTTACCAGCTTAGCACATCTATAATAACGGGAATCACCCATTATGCAGTAAAAGTGAGAATTAAAAAATCCTGGGGTGACTTGTTGGAAATGGACCACACGTGGAATATGAGTTTCTTCTTTTTTCCCAGGAGTTTTCGATTCGATCCGCACCCCTCCTTATTTTATGACTCCTGCCCGGTACCATGTCGTACCCATCGAAGACGCGCTGCAACCAACACGGATGAAAATACGACATTGATCGTGCGACTTACTTCGGAGCAATGATTGTTCGGGCTTTAAACGAGCGACTGCGGCTTGGTCTCATAGGTGCTCTCACGATAGCTGTTTTGTCGTTGTCGACGGCTTTAGTCGTTGATAATTGCATCCGGAGAAGACTTTCTGCAACAACTTGTCGGAGACAAAGTCTTTCATCTTCTTGTGTGTTGAAATCATTTGTAAATCATTATTCGGATGTTTCTAACAGCCGCAACGATAGAAATGGACCAGAAACACAAGCAGCTGCAACAAGAGGTGCGCATTCATCCGGTAGTGGCAGCAACAAGAGAATTGCCATTGTAGCTGGGAATTGGAAGCTCAATCCTTCCACGGCACAAGAGGCGTCGACCCTCTTGAATCTKCTGGCTTCGAATTTTGTCCACCATCGAAATGGTGAGACRCCCTTGGAAACTATCGTCTTTCCCCCCTTTCCTTACCTGGAACGTGCGGTATCTTTATTGGAAGGAACGGGGATAAAGGTCGGCGCACAAAATGTTGGAGTTGAAAMGAAGGGAGCCTTTACGGGTGAGGTGTCGCCGTCGATGGTCCGCTCACTAGGATGTGATTATGTAATGGTAGGGCATTCCGAACGCCGGACACTYTATGGAGAAACAGACGGAAGCATCAATGCGAAAATCAAGTTGTCACTACAAGAGCGAGGTCTCAAAGTCATTTTGTGTGTCGGCGAGACACTACAAGAGTACGAAAATAACTTATTGTCGAGCGTTGTGAATTCGCAACTCAAAGAAGCTCTGAACGGGGTCACGAAAGACGACATTGTGGCTTCTATTTCTGCTGCCGATAGCATCCGACTCGTCGTTGCTTATGAGCCAGTGTGGGCGATAGGGACCGGCAAGGTTGCCACGCCAGATCAAGCCCAGATCGCCCACCTTGTGGTTCGAAACACCCTGGAAGAATTGTACGGGTCAGATATTGCGGCACAAATTCAGATCCAGTACGGTGGCTCTGTGACGCCTGATTCGATATTGTCTCTGATTTCGATGCCGGATGTGGATGGAGCCCTGGTTGGAGGAGCGTCACTCACCGCAGATGGATTCACTCGCATTGTGGACGGAGCTGCAGCGTCGATGTCTGCGTACTAGTGTGATTCTTTCTAAATGATCATAATAAACATTATAATTGTGGGTCAACTAGAAGTCTATCTTACAACGAGTTCAACTGTTTTAACCGAATGAAAAAAWTCCGTAGAGAAAAGAAAAAAAGCATTTCGTCAATTTTTCAATTGGGGTTCTAAAATTCTACGGTAGGTACGGTAACGTGCTCTGTTCTTTATTTTTACAATTTGAGGGGAATCCTTTTGCCGTTTGCCCCCCCTGTTTCTGCCCTGTCATGAATYACGAAAGGAGTCGGCATCACACGCAGCTACGTACCCCGACCACTCCTGTTCCTACGCTACGACCGTTCGTATGACTGCGTACCTATTGTACGTACAGTACAATATTGTAAGCTGTTCCTGTACTGTAATATTAGTACTCGTACTCGTACGAGTACGAGTACTCATTCTGTGCTTCAATTCTTCATTATTTTTGGGACTCGAAGCGAAGACTACRTACATGTTGTTGTTCCTGTAGGATGTGTAAGGCACTCGTACGAGTACCTGGTACGGCGCGAACCACTCGAACTCCACCACAATCAACAAAACGAGTTGCGATGTTCTCCGCAACGCTGTGATCGAACTCCAACTTTCTTCTCTCATTTAATGCTTAGAGGGAGCAACTTGACAAACACCACTCTTGCACCGTGTTCGACGCCTTGTTGAAAATAAATCCATCACGGTATCTAGTATAAATTGGTTGTCGGAAAGTTTCCTTCGCAATTCGTTTTAGAATAAGTATAAGAGGAAACAATCCGGTCCTACAAGACGGAACTAAGCTAAGAAATAGTTGTCGACTCGTGTTCTCGACGTTGGTCACTGCTTTGAACAAATCTTTTCCGCTGTAGATGTGACTCGAACTTCAGCAGCTTTGAGATGCCAACGAAGCGTAGGATTGCAGCGTTGTCGGCCTCGGCTAGTGGGAATCCAAGCGCAGATCTCGCTTCCTGCTYKATGCTCTCGTCTTATTTGTCGGCGGGGAACCATCCCGTCGTCCCGCGGATTGGTAGCAGCAAGAGCGAGGGACCCGTTKCCCTGCCGTTATTGGAAGGACTGTGCGACCGACCAGGTGCGGCAGACAGGATAATGAAAGATGCACTTGATCGATGGAAAGCCAGCCGGCATATCGTTCGAAACCTCGAGTTKCTTTGGAACAAGCACAAATCAGGACTCCAACGAGGCAGCAGTGGCRGTAGACAGAAGAAGCGATCCGAAGCAAAGGYGGAGGGCCCACCCCCCTCAAAACGCCGTCGTCGAGATAGCGGAAGGAGATGCAACGAARCAAAGCAGCAGGAGGCAGTGGTCTCACGACAGCATCGCCAGCGACAAAGAGAGGTGGAGAAAACCTATGAAGCTCGATATTATCAACAACGGAAACGGCTGGGGGCATCGTCGCCATACTTTCACTGGTTGATACGATCCCTCGCTTCTCCTTCGATTCGAGAACGGAGGGTAGCCTTCAAAATCCTCGCTTTGGGCTGTCCTTTGGACGATGCATCTATTCGGAGCATGATCCAACTCGTGGTCCTTCTCATCAAAGAAGGCAATCCTTCCCGTGATACCGATGCCACCTGCATTGTCGGGTGGATGGCCCTGTTGAAGTTGCTAGTCATCAATGTTTTGTCTGGATCGGAGCGATTGGCCTACTGTGTTTGTCCTRAAATTGGTCTCGCATGGCTCTGCCGTGCTCTCTGGAAAATTTCGTCGTCTGTGGCATCATCATCCACGTATCAACAACAGCACAGCGGGACCGGGGCCACGCGCGTGTGTCTCTCGTTGATAGATCTCATCCATTCTCTCGTCCTGTCGGGCACCGACGACASTATCCATCTGATTCACAAAGTCATATGGAGCGAGGGGCGACAAAAAGAAGCGCTAAACTGTGGTTTTGATAGCGACCAACAAGTGCTTTCGCCCCTTGCATGTTTGATGGCGACGTATCATTTGTGGAATGAGACCCATCGAGGCAAGAAATCTATGGATGAAAAATATAAGACGATGATTTCACAACTGATTGATCCATCATTGTTGCCAAAGGTTGTTCCTCCTGCGAAGGGTACTGACTGTGCCAACTACAATGGGCACAAAAGTGACCAACGATTGGCAATTTTTCTGGGGAAGAGAAGAGAAACGGTTGGCACTAGCAACAATAAAGATGATGACTCACCTGAGRATGCGACAGAAACAGCGACGAAGGAAAGGTCATCCTCAGCAACTTCAAACGACAGTAGCAACAATCCAACTGCCTCTGCTGCTGCTAAAAGAAACAACGATAACAGTGACGACAGCAATAACATCGCTGCTGTAGCATCGCCCGGAGGTGATTCTTTGACATCATCGGCTCTCGGTTCTCCGCGAAATGGYACAGACAGATCAGCGATCACGACAGTCGCGAGGCTCTTTAGTTCTCTTTATGGATCAAACAACTCAGTGAATGTAGGTAGTGAAGATGCTGGGAATTCTGAGCAACCTAACGAAGAGCAAGAGCTTGTCGGTATGTATAGCGTTGACCATGATGTCGACGAAGAAGCTGATCAAATTTGTGAAACAGATCAAATGACTGACGACGAAGYGCAAGTGGATCCCGACGACGGTGACGGAAATCATCAACCAGAGGAGAGTAAGGAAGTGACCGTCACGAGCGAACGAGAGCCCCAAAAGAAAGACGACAAAAACGACGATGTCAGCAATCATACTGATAATGATTCATCGGATGACAATAATGAAATCAATTCGGAAGATGACGAAGAAATAGATTCGGATGAAGGGGAAGATTGCGTAGATTTGAATAGTATGATTGACATAGAAGATATGGAAGATGACGAAGATGATGATCATGAAGACGATGGAATAATGATCCACGAAGACGAACTTCCCTCCATTGAACAAGGATTGCTGGAGCTTCAGCGAGATTTTACCATCCGATCGACAAATCCAACATCATCAAGTGGAAATGTCTCTTCTACGAGTCCGTATCCAACCGCATCGGGTGGGCAAGGTGTAAGGGAGCGCTCTCAACTTTACATCAAAGCAGCAATGGAAGTCCTAGCAATACAGCATCCTCCTATTTCCAAACTGAAAACACCACTATTGCAACACAAACYCAAAGGTACGCCTCTAACTTTTGAGGGTGAAAAGGCGCTWATGGCTTCAATTATGCATATTGTGAAGCCCGAAAAGAAACCCTTGAACGGAAAAATCATTCTTAGAAGGGCACCGACACAAGAGGAGTTTTTCAGGGGCAATCTTTCTAAAAATCCCGTTTCATTTAGCATGCTCAAGCCTCCCAGTAGTGGTAATACCCAGGTTGAACCTACGGTTCGAGACCTCCGTCAATTTATCGCTAGTGACCTACAAATGGGAGATAGTGCTGAGCTATTGGAAGTTTTGGTGGCAAACAAAATTCTAGATGTTGGCTTGAAACTACGAGTCGTTCTCCAAACAGTTTGGAAAGAACACCTCATGCAGCACTCGGGMGGCCCGTCGTCGTCCAATTCTCTTTCGTCTCTTTTGGTTAGAGAGAGTCGTGGAGGAGCTCGATCCTTCCTCTCTTCGAGCTCAGGCCTGTCACTGATGCTGTACTCGAGTTTGGAACGGTCAACAGGATCTTCTGGAAGAGCTTCACTTTCGATTACTGAAGAAACCCCTGTTGATGCCTTACCACCCATGGTCATGACCTATCGTTTGACGGGAGTGGACGGGGAAGCAACAGAGGACACAGTATCAACCTTGAACGATCCTGAGGCACCGTTGGAGTCTTCGTCACARGAAGAAATTGAATTGCGCATGGAGAAAGAATATGGTATTACTCGAACGATCATGACCGGACGTGGGGTATTTTGTTTATTGCGATCCGTTCAGTCGAACATCCTTCATACCCTACAAAAAATTCGACGGGACGGGGAGGGAGGATCCGAAAATCACGCACGCAGAATTTTTAGGCAGTCATTTTATCCAGGACTGAGCCTCCTTGTATGCTGTGCCAAACTTCCGAGCAATMGAAAGCTGCTGTTGCGAGCTCGAGCACCAACAATACTGCTTCGATTACTCTTGGACGTACTTCATGCCTTGGAGGAGGACGGCAGTGATCAGTCGTCAGAGAGCAATTCTACCGCGACGGCATTACAAGAATTGATTACATCATTAGCATCGGATATTTTGTTGGTTAATGGGGATACCTCTTCAGACCATAATGAAGAAAGCGAAGCAGATGAAGATGCATCGACTCTGAGACTTTTGATACAGTCCATAGAAACTTCTTCGCTAAGTAGATCATTGAGAAACGTCATAGCAAGGCTGGTTCCGTACCTTACCTACGGGAAACCGACACTTTCGGAGGAATTAGCTCTAGAATTCATGTCTCACGTTGACTCGGATCAACTCGAGGAGTATGAAATGGATGGAGGTAGCAATAGAAGAAACAGCTGCAAGCCTCAAACTGTTCTGATGGACACATTCATCCACGCCTCGATCAGCTTACCAGCCAACGATGTTTGTAATTCACTTAGAATAGAGCTTACAAAATGTGGATTCGTCAAGAGAATTGCACGTCATATTTTGCATGGTTGTCCTGGCGAGCCACCTTTTTGGTCCCCATCTCTCTGGTCGAAAGGAAAAGAAGCTAGCAAACAAAAGCAATTGGTTCTTGAAAAGAAATGGAAAACATACTCCAAACGTACCGGACTGAAAACATGCTTTGAGATTCTCATTGGATTAAGCAAGGAACATGAGCCTACCCAAGCTCTTCTCGGAGAATTGAAGGAGGGTRATGTTTCTTTTCTTCAATTCTGTCACTGGTTGGAATCAACATCAGATAATTCTTCTGCGGCTATCACAATGAAGGGTTTTGGATTGCTTGCTGAAACTTTGCTCGATGATATGGCCGAATTTGGAAAGCCGACGTCGAAAGAAATAAAGATCATCAAAGCCCTAAGAAGGAGATCAAGAGATCGGAAAAAGGAAATCGCAATGGATCGTAGGAAGAAAAGTCTCATGAGTATGAATAAATTTGGAGCCATGTCGGGCTCCACTTCCTTGGCAGCTGCTACTTTAAACAGCAGTTCCAGTGCGGCAGGCGCTTCCCCGACTTGGACATCTGTACTGGATCTTTTCCGCGATTMGTCATCAGCACAGGATAATAACAACACAGAGGTTGCACCACTGCCTTCTTCAAAAAAGAAGAAAAAGAATTCGGCAAAAGTCACAGGAAAATGTGGTACGAAGGCATCAATTGTCAAGCCTGAATGGATGAAAGAGTTAGAGAATATGGAGGACGAAGCCGGTTTAACGTGTGCGGTGTGTCAGGAGGGAAGAAAATACAAATCCTCCGAAATGATGGGTCTCTATGCATACGTAAAAAAAGTGTCGATTGCAAATGGAGATATTTCGAGTCTAGATGGGACGAATGTATTGACGAATTTACCACCGAAATTACTTGCTTCGTTGCAGTCTAACAATATTGTCAGTGAATGGTATCGGAGTGGGAAAGCGGCAGGGGACGAACTCAAGGAATCAGCTCGATTATCTCGTGCTCCCACTGGCTCTTCAAGTAGACATCGGACGAACTATTACACCACTACTGTGACAGCGGGTAATGCCATTCATATTAGTTGCCATGCCAAAGCTCGAAAAGCGGATAATAATCACCCAAAAGCACCGAAAAGCGAATGGGAGGGTGCAGCGTTGCGAAATTCAAGAGTTAAGTGCAACATTATACTTCCTCTGGTGTCCTCTCGCAGCTCGTCGGTGTCATTAGTTTCGGTGGAACAGGCTCTTGCGGAACATCAAACCGCAGTCGCAAATCTTGTCGGAGTTCGACCGAAATCAAATTTGTGGACAGTTCTTCATGACGTTCGACTCCTATTACTGCGAATATCATACGGAGAAGCATTGAATGCGGATTGTGGTGGAGGCAGTCTTGGATCTAACACTCAGCTTATCTATCATCAACTTTCGATGGCAAAAATGTTTGAAAGTGAAGCCCAAGTTGACGCTCCAGCTACAGCGCAACATGCCCGAAATTTGAGTGCTGGATTCTTAGCGGCTTCAGAGATCATATCTGCAGAAGACTATGATTCGTTAGGGAAGTCATCCCTTATTCGAGGGATTGCTGATTCTTCGCTGATGGCAGCTTTGACTTCTATTCTATTCCACAATACAAAGGAAGATGATAGTTCTTGTGCTGAAACTTCTGAAGAAGCACCCCATCCGAGAAGACGTTGGGTGATTGGTAAAGAGCTCTTTCTGCGTGGTCTGTTGAATTGCGCTGGCCGTCGTCATACCCTGGCGATTCATAGTAGTGGATGTGTTTCTGCAAGGAATGTTGGTAACAAAAGAACTCGATCCCGGTCGTTTGCAGAATGGGATAATATTAATGAAGATGCTGATGACACCCAGGAATCGTCCCCAGGCACGTCCACAACAATTTGTCAAACTTCCACTAGGAAAAGCACGTGTCCGAAAACCAAAAGTTCTAGAGCTAGCATAGATGATTTTGGAAGTGCTATGCGTCCCATGGTTGTTTATTACGCCATTATGGACCAACTATCGACTGACTTCGCACCCGATCACGACGATGAAAATATCGAAGAGTGCGCAAATCGTCTAGTTGAAGTTATTGAATCATGCCTCGGGTCAAAGAGTATCCATGAGTTGCTCGAAAAAGCAAAAATCGACTTGTCGCATGAAGAGATTATCAACGAATTTCAGCGCGGAATGATTTCAGCTTAATTACCATGCATCATCATACTGACTTCACTTCGCAGAGTTGCGACTCTCACAATGGAATCGCCTTCGAGTATGAGATAATTAAAAAATTTCCTAGCTTGACGATAAATCTGCTCAGTTTGCTATCTGCTGTTCACAGTTCAATAAACGATTCTTTTGAGATAGGTATTGAGAGAAGTCAGTAGTGGTTGAGTTTGTTTTATGAAATAGTTAAATTTTACGGGTTGTGCTAGGGCACATACTGTCAGAACATTACTTTGAGATCAAACACATAAATCATTGAACAGTACGGAGTTCCAGTACGCATCAAAGGGAACCACTGGCTACAATGCCGTCGAATAYCTCTTTTCGTCCTTTGTGAATAATCTTATTMATCATCATTTTCTTGTTCGAGAAATGCGACATCGACAAGGAGGGTAGAGCCGATCAAAACAGCTTTCTCTTCGGCACTAATKCCTGATGGAAAGGTGACGTGGTAAGCATKTCTCTGAGAGCAACATKCATTTTTCCATCCAGACCACAACACGTCGACCATAGCATCGATGGGCTTTCCATCTAGAGTTGCGCTACTCTGAATCGGCTCGAGGGTAGACGGATCGCGAAGAATATAAGGTACGCGGCAGCATTTACCCTTCTCTCCACCGCAACGGCACATGACACAAAGCCCACAGACGCAAGTGTCAGGTCGCAAGCGGAACTTTTGGGTGCCTGMGGAGTCAAGAATGTCGAACTTGGGAACGAAGCAGCAGATGTCGCAAATGTATTGAGTTCTTCCCAACACCTTACCAGAAGCGTCTTTGGTTTCCAAGTAAGGAAGACCACATGGGTTACAAACACATGGTATSCAGCAACAACTAACACCGCAASTTTTGTTCTTCTCGTGGGTCAGAATGACGTTTGACGCCAGTTCTTCCTCGCTGAGGAGAGCAGGCTTTTCGTCGCATTGACATGTGCACCAGTCTTTGTTTTCGGCTGTCAAGCTTTTAGGAGGCGTACCGGAGTGCTGAACATATTTAATTGCGCGGAAGCCGGGTGCACAACMACTACAGAGGCGACCAAAGAAGCTACTCTCTTCATGGACCCAGCCGATGTTTTCTAGACTGAAAGGGTYGGAACCAGGGTGGAAGTTATTGCCTTCTGCGATCTGTTCAAGCAAGAGAATGGAAGGGAGAGCAAACAGCGGTGAGGATCGGCGGATTAAGGATCGAGTCAATCCTTGTKTTTCGCCRTCGACTACACTGAAAAATTCATAAACGGCGATAATGGTGCAAGTAGTGTGCGACTTACTACCCAATTGATGCTTTGGAGGAGAAGAGGACAAAGTTGATGAGGATTATACCATAATTTCAAGCCCAGCCATGTCAACATCATCTCGAAACATCTGACTCACCTAGGTTGGAGACAAGCCRTACGGCAGCATTGAGACGTGGATTGTGCGATGATGAATTCATCTCTGTCTCCGAGACGATCCATGGTCAATGCAGGTGGGGCCTTACTTGTCATGGTGATGTTTGTTTTGAGTTGGCGTGAAACTACTACGATTGGAAATATTGTGATGATATTGGTTGATGATAACAGAAAAAAATCTTAGCGAAAATGCGAACAGARTATGGTATGGGTGTTCTTTCTACCTGTACAGATCCGAAACATCATTCTGACTGTCTTCGAAATAAACAACCGTACCGTGCTGGTACGGTAGCAGCTCTTCCAGCAAGCAAGCTGAGAACGTTAAGTAATCCTCCAGCGAATGATAAATCCAAAGTGAGCATTTAGAATGAAGCTGCTGTCCCCGCTGATAGATCCGAACGCACGTTTTTCAGCATCAGGATGAAAAACAATCCATTCCATCCGTGGTATGGAGGAGCTCGCGTGTACCTTCTCTTGACAAAAGAATAAGTAAGAGTTTTTAACGATTCGCGCGTACGTACCCTTTTTCGGGCAGCTCCATCTCAGCAACCAGTCGTTGTCTGACAGTGTTCTCGACATATCCAAAGATGCAGAAAAAAGAGTACAATGACTACGTACCGTATAGTAGCAAAACAGAAAAAAATCTGGTACCCGGTACTACGCGTTTCGTAACAATTGAAAGCGGAGTACAATAAGTAATAATTTCAAGTTCTAAACTTCGATTTGAAGTTATTAACTTCAAAATGTTCCTGTAGAAAGTCTACCAAGTTCTACTGAGCTAGTTTTTGGATGGCATTCATKATTGAAAGGCCAGGATTCATAATTGAATCACCTCGAACCATTTTGTTTTGTTTTGAGGGGAATCGATTCGGTCATTCAGTCATTTTCAAAACAAGCTCAGTAAAACCTGTTACATGATGTACGAGCAAAAGTTCATAACTTCAAATCGAAGTTARGAACTCGAAATTATTACTTTTTGCTCTCTTTCAAGGCCGATTTCAATTGTTACGAAGCGCGTAGTATGTACGGGATTTCGAACATCTGCTTGCTACGGTAAGAATGTCAAGGCGCCGGAGCACAGCTGTTCAGAATGCTCATTTTAGGTTTATACCAAAATTCTTTAGTAATCAAGCAATATGATTGGCTAATTAAATTGATCAAAATATCGAAAACTGTACTCCCCTGACACAGCTGTTCAAAATGCTCATTTTGGCGTTTTTCGTTGGACTTAGATTGCTTGATTTTAGTATTATCCCTAACTCCAAATTAACGCCAAAGTCCAATGAAAATCTCCGGTTGAACAGCAGCTGTGGGAGAGCCCCCGATAGATCGCGCGTCTTATACCAAAGCGCCCGTAATTTTTTTAAGACCTCAAAAACACGCGAAGTCAAGAATCATTTGTTTTGGGGGGTATTGTTCTGTACTTTAGGGGAAAGGCATACACAAAATCAATGAACTTACTACTAGTAATTACAGTACTTCAGTAAATTAACTTAATTACTCGAGTAATTGACTCTGTCTATCAGGGTTATTAAACTTAATTACTTGAGTTATTAACTTGGGTAATTCAAATTCGTAATGAAAAATGCAATACTACTATTTCACTACTGCTACTAGTACTAGTACTAGTAGTAGTACTACTAGAAGTAAAATTGGCATTTGTTAATTGACTTCTTAATTAACAGGGTTAGTATTTACTAGTAGTAGTAGTAGTAGTAGTAGTAGTAGTAGTAGTAGTAGTAGTAGTAGTAGTAGTAGTAGTAGTAGTAGT